AGTCAACAGAACAGACTCAGGATGGGTGGCTGAAGGACTGGAGAGTTGGAAGGCCAGGGAGGTTGGAGGTGAATGTTAATTGCGTCAGGAGCAGGAGGCAGAGCACTGCAGGTGCTTGTCCAACAAAGGACGATTCACTCTGGTCCTGGCCTGGCTTTCCCCAGATCACTCACAATCGTGCACCACTTTAATCTGCTCACAGACACCAAAAGACAACTTCCAAACCAACGTCATCTTAGTCTCCATCTGCATAACACGAGGCCCTCAAACAATACATTTGCACTGGAGTATTTTGCTTATTCAACCATTTTTCTATTTGACTGAGTCAAAACATACATAATACCCATCTAATATAACCAATTCCTAATAGATTAGGTCCCCTTATGTGTCAAGCACATCATTTCTCCACTAACATATTGTAATATCTATTCAACATTGCTGCTGCTCTGCAATTTGCATTTAAATGTAGTCATGAAATTCAACACTGAGTGGAATCTAAATCAAGGAGGGTGTAAATTGAGAGTGATCAACATTTTCTCTGAATGCAGAACATAACTGTAACTACTTCCACATTGGTATGCACACTGTTGTCTAGATAAGCATTTTCTTTACACATTTCCAAGCAGTACTGCAGCCCAACAAACCCGCGCCTCACAGTAGAGCCTCAGCAGATCTTTTTTAGGACATGTATGTGTGTAATTACACAGTTTTTGAGTGATGTCTTGTAAATGCTGCATTGCACAATCTGACTCTGACTCGTGCTTGTGAGATTTTTCTTTCACCAGATGTGGAAAATGCACAGAAGGTCCACCCATAGTACCTCTGAATATGTCTGCAGCATATGTTCTGGCAGGTCACAGCATACATGTAATTAATATTGATGAAGGCTGCAACCCGTCAGAAATCTAAGAGGATAACAGTACATTGCTCTGTAATTTGATTGTCAAAAGACTGCAGGGTTCGTTGATAAAGGTGTAACAAAACAACGTATGAGGCTAAAGCAGACACAAGTAACAATAAACAATTTAATATTATGGATGTGATTCTTATGCATGGAGCAGCCAGATGGAATTTCTTTGGTTAACTCATTAATACACCTGTGCTTTTCAAGAACTGGCATGTCTGTTCATTTGGCCCATTACTTTATGGTCGGCTTCAAGTTTAGAGGAAATTATTTTTCCATGAAAGGTGTTGTTGGTAATATCACATCTGCTCTTGTCCTGCACCCGTAAGTAGAAATAGAAACGGTTAACAATCCAAATGGGGCTCTGATTAAATAAGCGATTTTATAAATGCATGAACACAATTTAGAGAATAAAATGGTACAAATAATCACGCAAATGTACATATACATCTCATGATGAGCATTATTATAGTTTGAATTGCACTGAATGCCTCTAAGGCCATGTTTACAGCAGATATTAACATGTGCAAATACACACAGAGCAGCATCAAACATGTGAGGATTAACACAATGAGCAGAATGTTGAGCAGCACCTGAAAAAACAGCCAGCGTGAAAAAAAACCACTAGGATGAACAGATTGTTTACGCTGCTTTTTATTGTGCAGAATACTGGATTACTCGATAATTTACAGGGAGAAATAATTGTTTGATTGGTGATTCATCTTTGTCTGATCCTTGTTAAAAACAAGAGCTGGCTCTTCATTGTTCCCAACATGATACAGGTAATGAATGAACAGGACAAATTCATGTTGTGTTTTGTCTGAATTTACTGTATTAAAGGTCAATTAAAAGTAATTTTTGTAAAAACAAACAAACAAACAAACAAAATAAACAATGCTTCATACAGCAGTTTTATGAAAGTGTAAATTCACAGATCTGGAAAAGCAGCTAATGCACGGTAACAGCTTTTTCTGGTGCTTTACAGCCCTCTCAGAGCCGTGGAGACACTGACACTGACATATTGACATCAACACCACATAAAACAGGCCCATCTATGTTGTTTTCTTTTCATGTGCCCCTTTGAGGGAGTCAAAAAATGTCTAAGAGACAGGAGTGAGTAGCAAATCGGTAAAAGAAAAGAGACACAACTGTGAATTAGCAGAACAGGTGATGAGGGACCGCGCGTACGGATGGATAGATAGATACAGTAACTACCCTCAAAGATTCTCCGTTTGGCAATTTGTATCCCATTTATATTTGATTTACCAAATAGCCTCAGGGCTGACTGCTCAGGATTATATCACATGACATTAATTTAGTAGACTCTTTCATTCAAAGTGACTTATCACAATTTCTTCAGCCTCTGTGCTTCCTAACAAATCATTTCGTCAAAACAAGAGCTCGCCTTGAGATTAAAATTTCAGATCCACACATGGGAGTAAAACAAAAGAAGTATTAAAGAAAACGGAAACCTGAAGCCAGTCATTTTTGCCAGGAGAAAAAAAAACTAAACAAACATAGACTGTATGGTACCTTTGAGGATACAAACACTGGCTGGTGCTTATTGTGGTGCATTAAATTAAGCATGAGGAACTTTCCACTATGCAGATAAACATGGTTGGTACAAAAATAAGTGTTTTCAAAATTTGTCAGCACATCAAAATGTGTGTAAATTAGTTGGGTTTTTCCAACATTTGTGGCCAGGTGTAGACCTTCTTTCTCTTTCTCCTGTACAGTCATGGGATCTCATCCCGTTCAGAATGTGCTCTACTATGATTTCGAGCTCAGTTTGATCTATTTCCTGACTTCACATGATCCCAAAGTGTCATTGTGCAAATGGAAAAGTGCCAGAGAGAGATGTCTGTCGTATCATATAGTTTATGATACTAATTTAGCCATTAATTACATTATTCTTTCTCGTACAAGCATACAATGTATTATTTGTCTGTCTGACCTAAATTCAGCTCAAAACCCTACCTGAAATCTTGACATACACAAGCAAAGTCCTTATGAAAAGATTTGAATGTCACTTATACACTGCTAAAGACCAAGACTGAGTAGGCTCAAAAACTACTATGTGGATTAGTCTCCTTTACAGTACATGAAATGTCATTTTATGGCACTCTTTAGCTTATCTTTCAGGCATCACATCATTAGAAGAAGTCCAGCATACCTCCAGAGACAGCTGATCACCTGCTGCACTTTGACCAGAGTACATTTCATGTCCAATTTTCAGTTAAATGAACGGACAAGTACAAACTGTCTCACTAATAACGGATACAACTGTAGCAAACGGCCTATGGCAGTGGACAATGGACAGCCCCGACCCAAATCTGACCGCTAACAGAAGCTTCTCACAGCACAGTGAGTTCATTATCTCAAAGATTGTAAATGGTGTGCACTGAAAACGGAGAACAAGCGGAGGCAAATTGATTGCACATGTTCACGGTTAATTGCTTTAATTGCAACCTACCGCATCCTGAGGCCATTAGAGACCAGCGGGGTGTGAAAGGGCTGACCAGGACCAATCAAACACTAAGCAGAACTTCATCTCAGGCCTTAGCTCGGGAGTCTGCGGAGGCACTCGCTCATGCTGGCGTTTATTCACGTGGGAGACCAAACACAACAGCTCTGTTACCCCAACAGCTCCATCAGTCCAGCCGCTTGACAGCCGCCCCTTCTCCAAATAAGGTAATTACGCCAGCGAAACCGGAAGGCTCTCCATGGCAACTCACTCATAAACAGGAGGGGGGAAACAATGGAGTACTAGGCTAGTAGGACGATGATTGACAGTCCTGGGATTGGCAGCTCAACTGCCTACATCTATTAGGAAAAAAGGCTTCGCTACAGCACATGAATAAACACAAATAAATAATATTTTCTAAAGGTAATATGCGCCACACTGCGTTTGTAACATTAAATAAGCCAAATATTTTTTCATTAAAAGCACGACGTATAGGCTACAGCAGGTCCTAATCAATATTCATCAACTCATTCCTCCGTAAGGGAGCCCGCAGTTCCCTCTTAGCGTAATTGCATTATTATAATGACTATTTGTCACACCCGCCGGCTACTGAGTTGCAGTAGCTACGGGATAAAACTTGGCATTATAACACACGAGACGCAATAAGGTTTATCTTTGTTACCTCTGTTTTTTTTTTCTGTTCGTCGTTGTCCTCGCGGGAGAAGTGACTCCACGGTGGTGATAGTAGTCCGAGCCTCGGCTGAATACGGTTCTGTTTGCGTGCTATTCGGCCACCGCAGGGAGAGCTTATATACTACTCCTTACTGCCTTAATAAATATCTCAAATTGTTGTTACCAGGTTCGCGGCTGACGTGTGCGTCCAGTAAACGGCACGTGCGAAAACTGCAGTAACTTATCTGATTTAAAAGTTATTCTTTTTGAAGCGCGAGAGTCGTTTTGTTGTTGTTAGAAAAATCAGTGTCTGCAACGTAGAGTTGAATGAAAAATACAGCAGCCTTAATGCCTCTCATCTACAACAGCGCTGGATGCTGTCGGTCACGGTGAGTGTCTCCGCCCCGTCGCCACTACCACAATATTGGAGAAAATATCTGATTGATGTTCCATTCATTTGCAGAAACCCTTCTCACTGCATTAGATTGCACATTTTAAATAATGATTGGTGTTAATTCTTCAATAGAAAAATGATCATTTGAATTCATCAAAGCACAAAGGTGGCAAAAAATGGAGTACTACACGTTGCTGGTATAATTTATTTTGTTATGGTTTGCTATCATGTCTTTATTTCCTCCGTCTCTTTTTCTTGTTTTTACTCAATTCTTTTATTAAAAATAACTGGTAATACAGTTTGAAAGTCGTCACAAGTAGCAATATGACTTATGGGGATAATTTTCACAAATTGTTGTCAAAATGATACTACACGAGTGATCATTTTTGTGATTCAGTTATAAATTACCCTTTATTTTTCATAACAGCGTCGGAAACCGGAAGTTAAACTAGTCCTTTTTGCAATTAACTTGATTGGTTTTGTAGCGACCAATCGCGTCGCACCGCTGAGCCTTGCTGGACGTGCACTTGTTTTATACATTCAAAGTGTCAACACGGGCGGGGTTAAACCTACTTCACGGGGAAAGATTGTTGGTTGGTGATGCTCATGACTGTTGAAACACAAATCGAGTACACTCTTTGTGAGTGCTTCCCTTATCAACAGCAACTGTAAAGGGACAGTGAGTACAACTAGCTGACAGAGCATATCAGTGAATAAATTGAAGAAATTGCTCGCATGAACAAATAATACTTTGTGTAGTTGTGTGGCTGTCAGCTGAATGTAGGTAGGTCGCTAAAGTGCTCTGGTGTTGTTGCGCTGTCACTTGTAAACATGCTAACGTTAGCCAGTTATTGCTTAGGTTATGTTATACCGAAAGCCTCATTACAACAAACCACATTATACAACTACCGGCTCCAATGTTGGTTTCGAAGGGCCCTTATTCGTATTTTACAGAGAACGTGCTTCGGGAAAGACTCCTTTTTTGGCGAAACTCACAAATACTGCTAGGCTTCCGTGTTGTTCAACTATGCGACAATAACTTTCTCAGAAGTTGTTAATCACAGATGTCCTGTTGATCACATCAGGAAAAGACGTCAAAGTCTAGTTTGAGTTTGTGGTTATTGCTACATAGATTTAGAAAACCTAAGTCATGATGTGTAAAGGGTGTTATTCTTAAAGCAGTTGTCGTTCGCAGGGGGCTCATACAGCATGAACTCTGGATTGGCTATTTCTTTGTCCTGCATCCAAATGCTCCCTGTAAGTACTGAAATCACCTTTTCTCCTTATCGGGTCATAGTGTGATCTGTGATTTTGCCACAGAACACACCCAAAGTTCTGAAAACAGACATTGACGTTTGTTCATTTTTCTTAGATATGACTGCTTGTTGAAGGCTGAAGTGGACTGAGTGAAAAATCACTGGTTACCAATACATCCATGTGTATAATCTTTTTCAAGTTTGACCCTCGGCCTGCGTCCAAAAATGCCTACAGGTAAGAAAAATGCTCATTAGAATGTCAAACTATAGGGTATGCAGGCATGTCTACCATGTCGCCATGGAAGAATGAACTAAGAAGAGATGAAAAAGATGTGTACTTGGTAGAAAGGTACAGTATGTCTTTTCTCAGCAAGCACAGACCTGCAAATGAGCAGAAACCTGTTCACCTGCATCAGTAAATGTCAGGGAACAGAACAAACTAATGCATCAATGGTGGAAGAAAAGCTAAACATGAAGCAGTAGAAGGAAAATCCGTGTAGTTGATTTGTTGTTCTGTTCAGTTTTCACACCATTAAAGAAAGAAAGCAGAAAAAGTGGTAAAGGAAGATGGGTTCTTTTAAATGACTGCAGGTGACTGAACTGCACTTCCCTGTAAATGTTAGCGGTCAATTAGTTTATGTTTATGAGTTTAAGATTATGATTGGATGGAATTTTACAGGACAATGCGTTCTTTTTAAAAGCCAGAAATTCCAGTATTTCAAGTAGTTTACTTAAATATTTGATCCAAGAGCCAAAGTCATTGTAAACCAGACAGGAAATATATATATATTTTTTAGTTAAATGTATTTATTTATTTTTAATGAAATGAGTGACACCGGGAAAAAAAAGGAATAGTTACAAGTCTGCAAGAAGCAGACTTTGAAGCTGGCTTTCACTGTCAGATTTACCATCTTGATTAATGGTATCCAGGTTTAACCAGTAACGCACACAATGGGAATACTATGTGGTAAAGTTACTCTTTACAAGCAAGTGTCACTCATGTTGAGCAGATGTTTCGGTATAAACCCTGCTGTTACAACCATTATTTAATTATTTTGTAACCAACAACTAACATGCAGTACGCATGGTAAATCCAATGTCTTTTTAAGGGAACTTTCTGCAGGCTTCAAATATTAAGTTTTTCCAGTCTGCAGCTCAGGCTGCTAAACCCCAAGCAGTCCGTGTGGGTGATGGTGTGATGTGTAAACCCAGCTCATTACAATCCCCCAGAGGTGCAGAGTGAGCTCTCTGCCCAGCCATAGTCCATCTCTGTCCTTCCGTCATGGAGTTCGACCCTGCCTGAGGAGAGGACAGCAGAGGTGTGTTACGTGTACTGACTTGGACTGGGACCTGGGGGAAAGGCAAACCGTGCTGTGGAGTCTATAAATAGACCACATTTGCACAAATAGTAGTTGTATGTTGAAAATCCAATACAATTGTAAGCATTTTATGACTGAATCAGGTGGAAAGCATGATCAATTTTATTTCTTTCTTTCTTAATTTGTTTTTTAGGTACAATTATCAAACCCTTCCAGTATCAAATGACAGGAATTCATCTGCTGGAGTTAAATGGCTTCATGTTCAGCATTAATGACTCTCTGATTACCCACATGCTGACTTGATTTCTGGCTTCTGTCTTTTTTTTCTCTTTTTTTTTCTTAATTGTTTTCAGCTGACAAACACAAAGTCAGTGCTGCAGTATTCTAATCAGTGTGAGGACGTCACCATCGGGGCCAACTTTTTAAAATAGTTTTATGTATTTATTTTTTTTAACATAATTTTTTGATTGCTAAGAAGGTTCCCTCCTGTCTTTTAAAGAGACTTTTACTTTTTCTCTCAAGCAGCGTCTATGAAGTCATATGACCTGAACTAGCTTGAATTTGAATGAATTTGATGGGGTTATGACTGCATTACAATGAATTGGATTATTATGTGGACGATCTTGAACTGCCTTGAGAGTATGATTAAATTCCAACTGGACACCGTGACACTGCATAGGCTTCTTGAAATGATACCATGGAAGATTTGCACCATAACTAGATCTAATCGGGATCGACAAGGGTGTGACATGCAATTTCCAAGGGAAAGGCAAAATGACACCGTTGTCTTTACATGTATAGACTTGTACTTGGATTAAGTCGTTATTTGCAGAAAAGCTGGATCCTTTTCATTTGGTCTGTGACTCCCTAACTGAGATTCCCCCCCCAAAATCACAGGTGAAAACTCTATGCTTTTTAAATAAAGTGTTGCTACTAGCCTATCAAATGTGAGCAAAGATAAAGTACACCAAAGAGTGCTGTTGCACAGAGCGATGCGGCTGCATGTGTCGTGGAAAAAATAACTTAATTACTTATGTACAACTCTGCACAAACGGCTAATTGATGCATTTTAGATGAAAGCGGAATTCCTTGTGGACACATTCAGTTTACAAGCAAAGGCAGCATCGTGAATTAAGCACCATGCAGTGCAAATACTCTCTTCATGCACAAACTACAACACAATTGACCCCCATCCCCCCATAAAAACCAAAAAAAAACCCAGAAGAATTCTGTGGATGAATCGGGTGGCATTGACTGCTTATCTTTTAGCACAGGATTATTCTACATACAGGTATGCCTCTGGGTTGAGTTTTGCCTTCTTTAACTAACGTTGATGTTTATTTATGATAGAATTTTGGGGTTTTGAGACACTGCATTTGCTGCCTCAGGGAGGTGGAAAAATGTAGGCCTGCTTTTCAAGCCTTCACAAGCTGAGTTTGTTGAGCAGTGGGGGGGGGGGCTGAACGTTGATTAGCTTTTCTACTTCTCTGCGTCGCACCACACCTCCTACATCATGCAGCTGGCCTACTGCCACCGTGATCCGAGACGCCTGCACGGGATCTGCCCCTCAGGATCCAACGGCAGATGCTCTGTCCTGAGTAGCATCATTAGCGCTAGCTGCGCTTTCAGGAATAGCGGGGGGGGGGGGGTCACCGTGTGCCATGGGAGCAGTAGCCTTTGATAAACCAAGGTCAGCCGCTATCCAGACAGTTTGGTTTGGTTGTTTGCTCATTAAAGGCGCCCATCCTGAAAGACTAATAAGGAGGACATTGCCAGGCACAGAGGGAACATGAGGCCAACGTAGAGGTCAGGAAATTGCATTTGTCTCTCTGTCACAAGAGCACGTTTATTGAATTATAAAAAGGTTAAATTTGTTATATTGGCGGGGGGGGGAGCACATAAAACAACAACATAATTTGATGCTAAAATGCAAATGCATGTTTACAGAAATCCCAAGGTAGAATAGAGGTTAATCCTCCCTCTAAGCAAGGCAATTGTTTTTATTTTTTTCCAGACCTGCAGAATACGATAAATGAGCGAGATTAGGCTCATGGGTGTCGCTCTGTAATGTTGATGATTACATGGACAGACAATAAATGATGTTAGATTTGACCTGCTGGCAACAGGCATGAAGAAGTACACGTTAGAATGTCATCTGTCATAGGTAATGGCGTCATTACTCAGTGACTGCGCGGTAATACAGGTCATAGTACAGGTTTTACAGTGTTTAACGGACAGGAACGCTGTATCCACTCCTTTCCAGCAGATTTATTGTAAATCAGCTCTCACTCCTGTTCAGGCTCTCTATTCATTTGTGGTGAGACTGTTTGCTGTGGCCTTTCCACTGTGGTAAATACAGATTCGGAATGGGATAAAAGTCTTGCAAGGGTCATGTTCATGACCTGTGCAGTTGGACATCTCCCTCAGTATTCTGTCCCACGATAAGAGTTCTGTGGCGGCAGCAGCGTATTCACACCCAAGAATGAGACTTTGGGTTGAAACATTCAAGATGTTTCTCTTTAACAAATCTGCTGACTTCTTTTGAAAATATATTTGTGATTTTTCAATTATTCTTTAATGTTAGTTTAATGCTTTTAGTACTTGCACAAACAGAAAATTTTAGGGTTAGAAAATGAAATATTTTGCCTTCCTTAGTACCATCAGGAGTAAGGTGATTGTAACAGATTGTCACTTATCATCATCAACTCCTATTATAGATATTTAAAATGTCTGTTGTGAAGGTTAGATGCAGTAAGTGAAAGGCTGTGTAAAGTATGTAAGAATTTGAGCTCATTATCTAAATTTATAGTCAGGAACATTTCTGAAATTTTTGAAAGCACCTCGTTTTACTTTAAGACATTTAACAAACTTGAACTGTTTCTTGAAAAATGTACCCTCTCATCAGCACTAGCACCAGAAATTACGGAAGTTTACCGAATAACGGGGAACTGTGAAGCTAAGATAATTTCAGATCCATGTCTGGTCATGATGACAAACTCGTTGCTTGATTAAATGTAACAAAAGACCCTCTTCAACCACTTTTTCCACTTTCAGGCTAATTTTGGCAGCAAACAGGGATGAGTTGTACAACAGGCCGTCTAAAGCTGCCGACTTCTGGGGCACCAACGCTGAGATCCTCAGTGGTAAGTCTGGCTGTTGGAATTCACCAACCGAGCACCTCACGCCCCCCTTTGACTCCTCAGAAACTACTAATACCTTTTTAAATGGCAACCAAATGAAAGGGTAAGCTTGTGCTTCACTTTTTAAGCAGGTCATTTCCTCAAAGGTTAGATATGCAAACGTCTTGCAACCAAATGTATTTACCTTTTCTTAATACCCATCCTTTGACATGAGAAGACCGCAGCTCCGTTTGATGGAAAAATCTGTGTCTTTCACCTCAGGATCCACTTCTCCTCTAATCCGTCACAGAACATCCCCACCCACAGTAAACTATATTTAATTGTCAACTCACATTAAAGCCAAGCCAAGGAAATCAATCATCCCCCCCCCCCATTCTTTTTCTGGCGCAGGAGGAAACCCAGATTTAGCCTCGCTGTTCATCAGTCTCCCCTCGCTCCTGTAATGGCGGGGTCAGGACTCCGATAGTGGGTCCCTAGTTGATGGCAGTTTTTATACGATGTGACGGGAATAAATGGCCCTGCCTTGTTTGCGGGTCTGGGGGGGGGGGGGACAAAGGATTGGGGTGGAGGGCAGTAGCAGCGGGCCCCTAAAAGAGACTTATCACGATAAGGAGGAAAGTAAACAATATCCCCAGTGGGATCAGGGTAGATTTCAGTCCAACCCCAAGGGACTGAGAATGTTTGGCTCTCTCTTACTGTCATTATGAGAAATTTATTTTTATTGACCAGCAGGAGGTACCTCAGACATGAGCTCTGCTTTTTGCATCATGGAGAGAGAGAAAAAAATGCCCCTAATGTGAAAGATAAAATTAGATTTATTTTATTTGATTTATGCTAAATCTCAAATTTAAATACTTTAACATTAATTTGTGAATGCAACTTATTTTCCCTTCTGTAAAGTCTATCAATTAAAAGTTTAGTTAATGACTTTGTAGATAATTTTTTTTTTTAAATCATGGGACGACATTTATACATAATGTCTTTATCTTTTAACACTGAGGATATTCAGCACTCTTTGGAGGGACGCTTATTCAGAGCAACTCTGCTTTTCTTTACAAGGCCTAGACCAGGAGTATGGCAAGGAGGGTGGATCATGGCTGGGGATCAACAAGTGGGGCAAGCTGGCCGCCATTACTAACTACATGGAAGGGCGTCCCAACCCTGACGCACAAGGACGGGGTGAGCCAGCCATAAAAAGTCAACACAATGAAGCACATTCGACTGTTGTTGCATCATAAACCTCCCACCAGGTGTCCTCCATGTTGACACTAGCTCAGATTTATTTGAGAAGTTAATGAAATCTAACTTGTATGTCATTAAAGGGCATGTATTGTACTAGTAAAAATGTATGTTCGATTCTTGGATTTGGTTCATTTCATTGCATTTCAATGGCTTTTCTAAAATGGGTTTCACTGGATTTCAGGGTTTTTAGTCTCTAACTACCTGATGGATAAGGATGTGGACAGCTATTCCTACCTGAAGAAGGTGTCTACGGAGGGCCACCTGTACAACGGCTTCAACCTCATCACAGCAGAGTTCAAGTGAGTCCGAGACGTGTTGTGTGCGTGTTCATCCTGAGGTGTTTTAGACCGCTCTGCCAGACAGAGCGGTCATCCTCCAACTGGGAGCTCAGCAGTTGGATCCCCACAGCGTAGTTGTGCTGGAAAATGAGATGCATGGGAATCACTCATGCTACAAAAGTGTGGATCATTTCCAATCTTACAAAAGTGGAGAGAGAGAAAAGTCATATTTCTGATTAGAGTTTAATTTAGGCAAACTTTCAAAGGAAATGTTTTGGTGTTTGTAACTCAGCTTTGTTCTCATCTCGGATTGAAGCCACAAAACAGTGTTCTGAATCTGTGTAGTTCTTTACAGTTAGAGAGAAGCAAAAAAAAAAAATCCGATGCTGGCCTGTTAGCAATCTCCCTTAAATTCTGACGATATACTTGTTCATATTTCCTTGCTTTAGACGGATTATACCCCCCACCTCCCCACACACATACATTTTTTAAACTTTTTTTTCTCTTTGCCATCTTGTGTCCATCCCCAGCCTGACGTGACTGGAGAGGAAAATGAAAGTGAGATCAGTGAACGCAGAAAGAGTTGTTCGGGGGTAGTCCCTGTTGAGCACAGGCATGGTAACAGGTCCTGTTGTCTGACAGGGAGAGGTCGGAGATTGGACTGAAACACACACCCCAAGCAAAACGTATTTCTTGCAGAGCAACAAGGGAGAGTGTCGGTGAAGGGATATCAATTGTAGAAATAAAATTCAACACCCACACTGTTATATTGGATTATTGTAAGGCCTGGAGATAATGGTACACGAAGGTGAGATTAATTATATGTTGTAAACTGTGATCTGTAACTCTCTCATATTTGTTTGAGCTAAAAATGGGCTGATAGTACATTTGTTGAATTCACTGGCCCTCTAGCTAAAAGATGAGACAGCAGCTTGTACATAATTAAGTATTGTTTATCTTTATTTTCAACTCCATCCAAAAATGAACATAATCTCATTTTCATATGGGGAAGTTTTTTTTGTTTTTGTGAGCAGCATCTGCTTTTATGGTCTTATGATTCACCACTCTGGAAACGTATTCATATTAAATATTTTCTTTTGTTTCATTCATGAAATGTTCTAAAGGTCAGGGTTTGTCTTGTGGTTGTTTAAGGGAAAGCAGCACACAGTATATGCTGGCTCCAGGTAGCTGCAGAAGGGCATGACCCCTTTAATTCTGCCTGTGACTGACTAATCCTTAGTCATCATGTCTCATGCACCAACCTAGCCAACCCGTTCCTGAAGGGCAGTAAGAAAAAGAATAAGCCACATGAAGACATGCTGTGTCTCATGAGGGGAAAAATGAAAATGATATGCACATCAGAGGGAAATTCAGAGGCTCTGTATTTAGTCATTGCATAAGATGTTGACTCTGAAGTTGCTGACCTGCTGTATTTACTTGGTTTTAGATTTTATTTGCTGAAACTTTTATTCAGATAAGCCAAGAAATCCCCCTCCTAATTTCTGGTTGACTGACTTAGAATGAGAAGCCATGAAGCTCTCTTAAATTGCCTCAGAGGTGGCGCAATTATTGCAACTCGACACATCTGAGGTGTTAACTGCCAGAAAAAGGTGAGAATCCTCTGATCTGACCGGAATTAAGTGAAGAGCCAGCTTTGTTTTCACATCAGGTAATAGTACTTGTCTCTAGAATTAGTTTGCTAAAAGGAATATCGAACTGGCTTTCTCAATGTTAATGTTGGTCGACAAAAAAAGGACAGCTGCGTTTAAAAGTGCCAAAAGCCGTTACAAAACCACAAGCTACATCTTAATGTAGTGTTGAATGTTTGCAGCACACTTGGAACCTGATGTTACAAGATGTATTTACCGGAAATGTAAACAGACAAATCAGTGTGTGGTCACATAGCAGGTTTATGGTTCAATGTCTTGTAATTCCTGCTGTTGACCTTTATTAATATTTAATACTTCATGAAACCACAAGGTAAAGACCCTCATGTCTCTAAAGGGAAAAGCATTGTTGTGGCCAAAGCTCACAGTTATCTGAGGATAAACCCGGTCCACAAAGCCTTGTGGTATAAAAACGCAGCATATGTATTTTCTCAAAGACTCCTTCTGACTGGTGGTGTCACTAGATAGAAATGAGCAGGAAAAAAGCCATCGTTCATCCTTAAAAAAATAAATAAATGAAACAGCCAAATTGTTTTCCCCTGTTGCTTGTCTAGCCGCGCAAGCGGAAATGAGAGATCTGCTTTCCTTCCAAATCAATAACGACATCCGGTAAATAGATGGGAGCTCTTTTATTGTATTACATGTATAAGTTTTCCATTTGTCCTCAACTGGAATGTTTTTTTATGATGGTGAAAGTGTGCAGCTTTTGTGACGTTCTGTTCTTTAGCCTGACTGCATATGAGGAGTTTTGCCTGAGTCTACTGAATATTTCTGCCTTTTCTTTCAATTTAAATGCTCTTTTTCTCTAATCTGATGTATTCGATTTGGTCAGTAACAGTCTGTGTTGAGCCCTCCTGTCCAGAAGTGTAGGCCATAAATATTCAAATCATGACATTGAATATTCTCTGCAGTTAAACTTGGGACTCCATATTACACGTGTCTCGAAACTTTTACATAACTTTGAGCACTTAATCTCATTTGAAGTTAAGTTCACTGTAAAGTCAATGCCCAGAGGCTACTGAATCGACCACTTGCCTCCCTTATTGCCTTTTTGGTCAGACTCTGTGTGGCTGCTTCTACGAAAACACATAAAGAAGGGTTTAGTCTTATTGCCTTAAAACATGTGTTGGATTTCTTGGCAGAAGCTTGTTTGCAGCAACTCAGTGTTTCTTTTTCATCTCAAATACACTGAGTGAGGGAAAGATGAACTCTCATAGAAACTCAGGTGTTAGTTTTGCTCTCTAACGCTTGTAACATACATTTTCCGGAAATAGCCTTTTCAATACAACAGACTTTTTGCTTTTCCTGGATAGAATAGTTGTACATTTCTCTGCATTATTTACTGACCATCAGAGAAAAAGGTGCTCACCACTTTTTCTATTTAAAAAAAAAAAAAAAAATTATAAGCACGTTGAAATTGTTTATTTTCGGTAAGCGGTTTATTTGGACTTGTGCTAAAACATTTCCCCTTCTCCTTTAAAAATGAAAAAAGATCATATGTTTGTCTGAAAATGTGGAAAGTTAGATCGAGCTTAGTATTTTTTTTTCTCCTTTTTTTAGACTCTTTTATTAGTAAACATGAATAGCTCTGATGTCATGTTAAGCAATATTTTGATATTTCGACTTATATTGTGAATTCTAGTTTGAATGAATCTTGGATCTGCTGATTGACTGAACACAACCACTTAAGATATTATAGTGGTGAAATGACACTGGACCACCAGAGGTGCACAAACATCCAAACTAAATGTAATAAAAGGAAATAAAGATGCTGTGAGGTGATTTTATTTAGACGTCCTCAGGATTGACCGGAAATCGTGTGGGAAATGACAATAAGTCATGCATTATTCTGGACCCAGGTGGTGAACTGACTGAATGACGAGCCCACCTTGGAATTTCTAAAACCACAAAGATGGTACAGAATGAAATTTAAAAGGAGAAGTTCACTTTCTGTCTTCGTCTTTTTTTCATCCTTTATTGATGCGTATGGGGCTATAGGCTACAGATGCAGGTTAAGACACAGGAATGTGTGCATTGTCCTTACCCAGGAGTCAGACCAGTATAACCGATCTACAGTCCGAGTTAAAGGTTCCAATCATCTCCAGGCAGCTACACCACAGCTGGCAATTGGTAAATTGCTCTACAGGCTCAATATAGAGGACTCTTCATTTGAACATGTCCCAGCCAGCATACTGATTGCCTCTCCGCCTGAGATCTGAAATAAGCCTTTTTAGTCTTCCCTCTTTGCTCCCTCCCTCTCTCTCTGCCTCTCTGTGCCCAGTGGTCCCAGCTTCCTGCTGTTCCCTCGTCTCAGCCCAAATCAGCCCACAGTGCTGCTGATGGGGCTTTCAATATTCCAGCCAGTTTCAAATAACAGAAATTGAGCTATGTCTCCTCAGATCCTCGAGCAGCTTCCATCGCAATTTGATTTATATCACAGAGTGTGCCCAAAGACACTGGGCCTTTCAGATATCAAGTTCAGGTCCCAAGACAACAATAACGTTTCCAGCATTATGTTTGCCCACGGCAGAACTTCCAACAAATAAAAGCTTTACTGCATCCTTTGTTTTCCCCCCCAGGCTGGAGGTCTGTCTGGTTCTCTGAGCAGGTTAGAAGAGGCGGCCACTGCAATCCATGTGGACTTTGTCCCGAGCTGTTGTGGTCATTGCAACTGTAGACACAGCTCTCCTTTTTTTCTTTTTTGTAATAGTCAACAGATTTGGGAGGACAAAACAACATTTTCTATGTTTGTTTTTCTGTGTACAAAATCTAGAAAAAAACAGATCAGTTGGATTATTTGAAAGAATCTTCCACCAACATCATCACCATAGACTATGCTGATATGAGTTTTCTGCTTATTTGAGAATAACATCCATCAGGTGAATCTGAAATGTATCAAAAAAGTGTTTGCTGCCATTTTCTTCATGGGTAAAAGGAATGTAAACTAAATAAATCCCAAGTTTATTTAAAAAAGGAACCTAAAAGCCAGCCAACCCTCATCTAAAGGCTACCAGCATGAAAATACCTAATGTCAAAAAGAGAAACTGTTATAAAACTGTCAATATTAAGCAGAATAAAGAAAGTCATTGGTTTGCTTTTAAAGCCACAGGATGCTCAACCTACAGCTAGTTATAATAATATTTCTTACTCTTAACAGGGTTTTTTTTTTGGTGTATTTTTAAAACTTATTTAAACAAAGCTAAAACTAAGACCAGCCATCTTTAATGTTGGATATACTGTATGAATTCTCTAAATGTCTGGTAACTATTTAAATACTTTTTCCTCAACAAGTAAAGCAAATTACCATCTAATCCACAATAATCTTTGACTGGTTTTATTTAGTTAAATCTCTGGCTTCCGGAGCAACCCCCCACCCCTCTTGTGGTGAATTACTTAAGCTCATCTGTTTTAACATCTGTTTGGATTTTGGCTTTTTTAAGACAACCCACTGAATTTACTTAGAAAGTTTCAGGCCTAGCAGCATCTTCTGTCGCAGTCTCGGCATCTTTTGATGGTGAACTTTACAAGTTAGACGTTGAAGCAGCGTTGCACCACATTTCAGATTGACTGATGCTGCTGGTATGGTTGTCATAATGGACATCAAAGTTCATTCCCCTTCTAATTCAAAGGACTCATCCGTATTTTTTTTTCCCTCACTGATCTTTAACAGAGCTGTGACAGATGCCCTTGACGTTGGTAGATTTTTCAAAAAGAATACATTCCTCCGCAATTAAGTACTTTGGAAGCAAATCTAACCGTAACATTTTGGCTGTGTCATCGTTTACAGAGCTGATTGGTTGTAAAAGTCAGAATTTTCCTAACTTTTCTGAAGAATGTTTGGCTCTTCAGTCACGCTTTTGTTTTGTGATATTTTCCCAGTTAATCCTTATCTTCCTGGACAGAAAATAAATATAATTGAAAAATATTTCTTAATATTCCCTTTCCCCCTAAGGGTTAATCTTCTTATTTCCCAAAGGCAGAGGATAATTTTCACTGACCTGTTCTTAACATAGTATATTTATTATTACCCATCACACATCACCCTTAACTGGAAATAAGCATATTGGATAAGTTTATTGATTAAAATGCAATGTCTAATCTCCTTTATACTCTGTCCCATCTAGAGCCAAACAAGACACTGTGTGTTACTATGGAAACAGAGGCAGCCCTGAACCTATCCGTTTGAATCCAGGTCTGTGGCTTTAATGTGGTTGCTGTAGAAACCATTCATTTCACATTCACCTCTCTTCTCGGCCTCTGGCCCATTCATGTCAGCCTATGGCATTTCTCTGATATTGCTCTCAGATTGTTTTTGATTTATCGAAGGACGAAAGGACACCAGCAGAGCTGACTGTTGTGTATTTCTTTGTTGTGTCCGTTTGGCCCTCAGCAGGAATCTACGGCTTAAGCAATTCACTCCTGGACACGCCGTGGAAGAAGCTGCTGCACGGCAAGCGGCACTTCAGCAGCGTGGTCAGTGACCAGTCGCTGTCCAGTGAAGGGCTGGTGCAAGAGCTGCTCAATGTCCTTAATAATGAGGAACTGTGAGTGATGAGCACACGTTGCACGTCATTTTTACCCATGCTATTATGGGTCTCTCTTTACGGGCTACTTGCAAATACATTTCCACTCTCTATGTAAGTACCCTGTCTTTGGCCAAGGGTAGTAACATCCTGCAGTCCTCATTATCTGTTGGCATGTCAACCTGCAGAGACTCCAGGAGTCCAGCTTTGCGTGTAACAGCGAGACAGCACAGGATCAGTGTGTTTAATAAGAGCCAGCTTAGTATCTATATGCTTTCTACATATATTTGGATTAAAGAAAGTAGTAAGAAACGGAACCAATGAAATGTGCAGAAAAGTGAACGGGTTGCTATAAAGGCCGTTTGCGTGTTTGTTTTGCAGGAACACGCCTGATCCAGTTCAGGAAACCCAGGGCGATGGCTACAGCAAGCCCATGATCCAGGCTTTGTCAGCCGTGTGTGTTCGCTCCCCTCATTATGGCACAAGGTCAGTTATTCCCACCCATGGCAAATCTTCTTTTTTCCTCTGATATCCCACTTTTTGCTTCTGAGTGTTGGTGTCTGACAGGATTTTGAAAGGCTTCAAGATCACATCTTTGTTGGACCATAGTAATCCCCTGTGTAATCAGTCCTCTGCAGTGAGGAAATAGAATGGGATCTCCTGTGCTTTCATGGCACAGTGGGTTTGAGGATACAGACTCCCGTAAATAATATTGGGAGAATGTCAAAAGCATAATATACTGTTTTCCACTACCTACTCATTCTTTGTTTTTGTGGCCTGAAATGGAGCTTTCACTAGTTTTCCTTGTGTTTATTCCTTTATGTACCATGTTAATGTTATTTGTTGTGTTTTGTCTCCCTGCTCATTCAGGACCAACACAATAATCCTTATAGACGCAGAAGGGAATGTTACCTTCACAGAGCGCAACATGCTCAATGGTGATACAAGCAAATGGAGCACCAATTCGTTCCAGTTCAGCCTGCAGATGTGAAGAGAACCCACTCTGTGCCTTTCTGCATCCTCTTACCTACCATCCTGCCCAGTCTGGGTCCGGCAGCCGCACCTCCCCGTTGGCGTAAACATGAAGACTTGACTGCACTTGGTTTTCCTTCACCTTCTCACTCGCTGCCTCTCAAACATCAGCAATATGTTTCTTCTGCTATGAATCTCAGTTTAAGTCTGAAAAGTGTGCGCTGATTTAAAAGGAAACTGCCAAAGGAGAAGATTTTGTAGAGAAAATGATTTTATCCTCACATCACAAAACGGTGTTGGTGTTCCTTAAAATTGACAAATCTCCTACTAATATCTGGTAACTATAAAATGAATGTGGTGAATCTAACTCTGTTCGGCTCACATTTCTTCCTTTATAATTATGATATGAAATGGATCTGTACTTGGGCAGCTTCCATAATGTGGGTTGAGCATTCTAGCTATTATCTTGATTGATAAGTTAGTTCCAACCATTTAAGGTTGTTTTTGTTTATTTTCCAATAACTTTACCTGTGTTGTTGGTATGTCAGAAGCCATGCTTCATTCAAATGTAACCATCATCTCAGTTTGTGCTAAATCCAAAATGTTCAAGGCAATGAATCTCTGGGAATAATGCATTTTGCAGCTACTCAACTATTTAAAAATGTACTCAAACACATTTAAAGTAGAAGAAAAGAAAATCATGGGTGTTTTTTTGGTGTTGACATTTTTTCTCTTCCTTTAAACATTTTAAGTTACTTCTCAAAGGGTGTCGTTGTTTTTTTATGAGAATCATATTATATATTTCCTTTATATTTCCTCTTTTTATTTGTTATCCCGGTGATCTCAGGATGAAGCTCCTGTTTTGATACATACCTGTCTACTGTTACAATTTAAAGACCTGGTTTATTACAGCATGTTAGCGCTCACGTTAGATACTGTTTTCTTTTTCTTTAAACTTCGAAAGTCACCACTAACAGTGCTTTACTATCATCTGTTGCGCTGCTGTATTATATGACAGACTTGCAACCGTTTGGAAACAGTGACCCCATCTGGCAGATTTACTGTGGAGTAAAGCAAGTTTAAGTCCCGTTACACTTTTAGACTACGTTAACGAAAGTCCATAACAACTTGATTCGTTTCCGCACACCTGTTTAAAAGCATTTTGTTAGAATCAGGACAAATATTTAAAAACTTGTCTTATCAGTAACATTTTTTAAAAATACAGTCATTTGCTTTTAAAGACATATACTCTTCGGATTTAGTCAAATAAAAAACTCTCCCCTATTACCAATAAAAACGGTCGTAAATTTAGGGAGACGACTGCATTCTTCCCAAACCACAATTGGCTTAATGTACGTTTTAATATGCTAATAGACTGAAAGCGTGCAGTGGTGCTGAGCTGATTGGCTCAGTCCTCACCAATAGACGCTGAGCCATCCGGCCGATTGGACGTGGTGATTGGTCCGCTGATCAATCAATCACAGAAATGCCGGTGCTAGAAGGCGGAGCATCTTATACCTCGCCCCAGCGCTTCTCCTCAAGATGGCGGGGCTGCCATGGAGGCCGTATGGCAGCACTTCAAGAATAAAATAATTTAACAAGGTGGTTAGCTCCCCACGAAGAGACACCTGTGTCATATTTATTAGTGAGTATTTTCACGTTTCAATATATTGCATTTTCTTTTGTTGCCTTTTCTACATTATGGGCTGTTACTTGTTCGCACATTAGCATTACAGCTAGCGATACCGGAGGCCTGCCCTGTATCTACGGACTGAAGTGATGCTCGCTCTCCATTTCATACTACCATGATTCTGCGTTTAATTAGACCATTTCGTATTGTCTGATACAACTTCTACGTATACCACAAATTGTTCCATAATGTTGTAATTGTTAGCAATATTTTTGTAATAGAGTTGAATAATTGGACATCAGTTCTTAGTGGTCCTTTTTTTTCTCCAGCTCCCAGAAGATCGCAGTGGAGGATGATCAGTGGCTCTATTCCTTAAGCTGAATGCATTGTGATTTCCAATAATTGAGACAGTGATTCTGAAAGCTGTCTACATTAATGAAAAGAGCAATGTAGTCAGCTTAGCATATTCTCCTCTGGTACGTGGTCAATACAGGGATGAGCTTCTGCATGTATTCTGAGTTGAGATAAGTAGGATATCAAAACATTTTTAAAATAATCTGCAGTTTATATAGGTTTTAGCTCTTAAATAAGAAACAATGGAGATAGATGATGTTTTGCCCCCTCTCCCTTTGGAGCCACCTGATGATTTTGGCCTAGACCAGGAAAGAGCACCTCCACCACCTCCCCTGCAAACGTCCAGTGACGCAGAGGTAATGGACGTTAGCTCTGGTGGTGATGGATACACATACACCCCAGGGGACGGGGAAGACGAGACACAGCAGCCCATCAGTAAGGGCTCTCTAAGCTTTTGCACCCACCTTTCAGATGAGCCCAATTCCAACCCACCTTGCCCCAGAACAGCCCGCCACGCTCCCCCCGTCACCAGGTTTCTGCCAGACCTCAAGCTGCTCAGAGATGTTAAGATCAGCGTGAGCTTCACCGAAAGCAGCAGCAGCACCAGCAGCAGCAGTAATAGCAAGGACAGGAAGGTTTTGTACACGGGTGAGGGGCAGGAGGCAGAGGGGGATGATGACATGGCCAATCTGAATGGTGAACTGCATGACATAAGTATGCAACAGGTAGCTGAAGGTAGCTCCGGTGAGGGCAACGCAACAGGTGGGAAGTCAGAGGAAAGTGAGGTAGACCTGGAAAACAAGGTAGAGTTTGCTGTCCTGGATGAGTTGGATGAATTCTACGAGAACTTCTTGGATCATAATGACGGCGAGCACAGCGACTTTAAATCTGAAGTCATTGTTCAGCAGGAGCAAGCGGATGATGAGGCTGTGACTTACTCCTATGAGGTATGCCTGTTCTTACATATTCAGTCTCCCATGTCAACTACAACATCCCATCAGCTACACACCCGATTTGCTCCTTAAGCCGGCATAGTAAGAATGTGGTGGCACATCCACAAAAGATGCCGGTATTTTTTTTTTTCACATCCATAGTAAAGCTTGTTGGCTTGTGCACTTATTCTGATTTCCATAATTAAGAAGGCAATTTGTAACCGGCTTGATGAGATGGAAATGCGAGACAAATTGGCCCATCAAACAGCTTTTGTTGTGATCTCTTAATTTGACGTTTGATTACTTGAACCTGCCTCTGAAAAGTGAATGGAGGCTCAGTTGTTCCCTTAAGCAGCAGACATGTAAATGTTTTTTGCCTTGTTTATTTATATTATCCTTGTCATTGAAAATGAGAAGTGTGAAGCTGGAAGAGGTTAGTGGCATTTTTTAAAATTTCTCTCAATAATGCTTCTTTTTTTCATAAATGCCTCTGAGAGGAATTGATCATTTATGCTAAAATCACAATACGTTTCATAAACCACTTGCTAGTTTTATGGCATCCCATCAGTTCACCTAGTCAGAGAAAGCATTCAGACCCAGATTCAGACTGTCTGCTGGCGTTAACCATTCACTATTCCAGGAGGAGTTTGATAATGATGTCGACGCTCTGCTGGAGGAGGGCATGCCGGTCCCAAAGAAGATGCGCCCTGCAGAGGAGAAATATGGCGGGGACAGTGATCATCAGTCAGATGGGGAAGGAGGCGTTCAGCCCATGATGACCAAAATTAAGACTGTCCTGAAGAGTGAGTGATGAACTGAGCTGCTTTCCACCAGTGTAACTGAAGGTGTTGGTGTCCTCTCTTTCAGGGCCCTGGTGCTTTTCGGGAACATCCTTGCAATGTCAGTCAGACTATGTTGGGCCTTTGTAAAATTCAAGCATTCCTTGAACGTTTGAGCTGTTGCGGTCACACTACAGGAAACAGCGATTCTGCTCAGCTTGTCAGAGGTTTTTTACCTCGTTAATAACTGCACAGCCAGTTGTCCTCCCTCAAACTTTTGCCTTAAGAAATTAGACAGAATGAGGTTTTTCTTCCCCCATATGATCTGCTCCAGAAGAGGAGAAATGGTAAAGGCACCTGAAGCTTCTGCTCGTATACGAGTACTTTCCTCTGTTCCTGTTGAAGCAGTTCGACGTGCTTATTGGGTTCTCCCGGATGCTATAAGACGGCAAGAAGTCATACAAGGACTGCAGGCTAATAAAGTGTTGCTGTAGTGCTATTACAGCTTAGTAAGGATAACATTGATTGTTACAGGTACAGAAATCAGGTGCTTTCGACTGGTGTGTTGTGAGAAATCTCTGTTTGTCTAGTGGCATCTGTAAGTATGGTTTGGGTTGAGCCCTCCTGTTTGTATGGAGCTGTGGCTCTAATTTACCCTGCGTTTTACTCCATCAGCAGGCCGATGAGGCCAGTAAGGTTACCCATCGCATGCCTGAAAATGGCAGGTTTGTTTCATATTGGACTTCAAGAATGAGTTTCTGCCACTTTTGAAGAAAACTTTGTGTAATGAGTTGGAAAACTTTGTTAAAACAACCTAAACTCTGATGATCAATTACATCATCAGGAACTGTAGTGGCTTTCACCCTGTGGCTGGAAACTCAGTTCATAACTCGGTATGAGTCTACCTTTGGTATTCCTGGTGGGAATAATCATGTTTTTCCATGTGCCAGGTCGGGGGCGTCCACCCACTGAGCCTCTGCCTGATGGATGGATCATGACATTCCATAACTCAGGCATTCCAGTCTACTTGCACAGAGAGACCAGAGTGGTTACCTGGTCCAGACCCTACTTCCTTGGAACCGGCAGTATTAGGGTGAGGTGCTGCTGTCCATGTCGGAACAAAGCTGATGAATGAGCTACAATAAAAAATCTGTTTGCCCCTTTTGATCAAACTGATGGGGGGGGTTTCTGTAAGCAGAGCAGTTTGTTGCATGTTTTGCTTCATTTTAGGTCCATTACAGCCATTAGTGCTTCTCTGTGCTGAGCAGCCGCCTCATTACCACGCACCTATGTTTCTTTGTTTTCTGACCGCTGCCAACATGTTTTGTTTCTGCTCTCGGTGTAAATGTTCCTGCAGAAACACGACCCACCGACCAGCAGCATCCCTTGCCTACACTACAAGAAAATGAAGGAGCATGAGGAAAAAGAGTTGAATGGGGAAGTAGCCTCCACTGCAGAGGAGTCTCCGGTGAAACTCGGGGAGGAGGCCGTAGTAGGTGAAGGAGAGCCGGGGATGTTGGTGGAAGAGGCAGATCCCGTCCCTGCTGCCAGCGTCGCTGAGGGCGAGGAAGAGCAGCCCACCGACAACGGCCTGCAGAGCAAAGAGCCCCAGCCCTGCGACACGGCTCAAGGAGCCTTAGGACAGGTCAAGGCCAAAGTGGAGGTGTGCAAAGACGAGTCTATAGGTGAGGGCCTTTTCAGAGCGCACGCTCACGTCTCCTTTGGTCTGATTTTTGCATCCCTGCGGAGCATCGCTCGGCTCAACTTCTCCCAACTTTCCCGCAGAACTTGAAGATTTTCGTCTGTACCTGGAAAAGTGCTTTGACTTTGAGCAAGTCACTGTCAAGAAGTTTCGCACCTGGGCAGAGCGCAGACAGTTCAACAGAGACATGAAGAGGAAGCAGGCGGAGTCGGAGAGACCCATCCTGCCTGCCAACCAGAAGCTCATCACGCTGTCGGTCCAGGACGCTCCCACAAAGAAAGGTGACGGGCGTTCCGACGCCGCGCGCCTACACGTCAGGCCCCGTCTTTTATCTCATCTAGTCTCTCTGTTTTCACAGAATTTGTCATTAATCCTAACGGAAAGTCTGAAGTTTGCATTTTGCATGAATACATGCAACGTGTCCTGAAGGTTCGACCCGTTTACAACTTCTTTGATTGTGGTGAGTTCTGGCTCTCCCCTTCTGATTTGATTTGTTTGGGATTCACATGTTGAGTCAACCTATACAAACTAATTAAATTTTTATTGAATTTTTATTTATTTTTTCTATGCGCCACAGAGAACTCAAGTGAACCCTTTGGAGCCTCAGTCATTATAGATGGAGTCACTTACGGCACAGGAACAGCGAGCAGTAAGAAGCTTGCCAAGAATAAAGCTGGTAATCCGTCTCATTTCCACAACTTCACAGTGCATTCTCATAGGTTTCTGCATGTTTCACCACATCGTGTTCAGTCCTCTGAGCCGTGTATGACCTCAGGAATTCTGAACCGTGGGATTAAAGGTCTTCCTGAGGAATTCCTTACCTGACATTGTAATGGTTTAAATGCAATTGTCGGCTTATTTTGGCGTGTGCTTGTCTCTAAGCACAAGCGTGGCTGATTCTCACCTCTCTGCTAATGTGTTGTGAACCGCAGCTCGAGCCACACTGGAAATCCTCATCCCTGACTTTGTGAAGCAGACCTCGGAGGAGAAACCTGTCGAGGGCGACGAACTGGAGGTGCGTCTCTGTTTGCTTTCTGCACAGCCACCCGGAGTCTGTCCAGTTTAAAGCTGGGTAACTCTCTTGTGAGAAAGCTGAGAGGTTTTCTCTGGAGATGAAAGCCTTCGTTTTCCTCTACTCCGCAGTATTTTAATCATATCAGTATAGAAGACTCAAGAGTATATGAGCTGACCAACAAAGCAGGACTACTATCGCCATATCAGATTCTTCATGAGTGCCTTAAAAGGTAACATAGATGTCATTTTCTTGGTGTAACTTGTATCGTGTCGTGGGTGTGGTGATGTGTCATTGAGCATGTTAAAGTATGTGTGAGCCATCATTTGCTCCTCATTGCAGAAACCATGGGATGGGGGACACCAGCATTAAGTTTGAGGTGATTCCAGGGAAAAACCAGAAGAGCGAATACGTGATGACATGTGGGAAGCACACAGTACGCGGCTGGTGTAAGTGGACCCCACACTCTTTTTCATGTGGCCACGATGCAGGAGCCCTGTGTGAACAGTCACAGCCGTTTGGGCTCTTCAGAACTGCCTGATGGCTAGATGAAGCCTCCGTGAGGGGAGTGGTCACTCAGCCTGCTCCTGTCGCACTTTGTTCCCTGCAATCGTACGGCTGGTTAGTTCAGACGGGCAGAGGTGGAGCTTTCAGTGTTGTTATATATGCGTTTGTCCTCCCTCTGTATCTTTAGGTAAAAACAAGAGGGTTGGCAAACAGCTGGCATCTCAGAAGATCTTGCAGATGCTTCACCCCCACGTTAAGAACTGGGGCTCGCTGCTGCGCATGTATGGCCGAGAGAGCAATAAGATGGTGAAGAAGGTGGGTGACCACAGCCCTTCCAGTTCTTTCGACAGAAAACGGCTGGGTTCATTTTGAATGCTTTGCTGTCTTTAATCCCTTTTTAATGACAGCATTATTTCCAGATCCGATTTTAACTTTGGAGCCTGCGTGCCTCGGCCAGTTTTAGTGTAGCTTAGTGCATGTTTGCATTTGTAATTCAACCCTCAGATAACACAGATGAATTCGTTTTCATGTGTTTTTAAAAGTCTGGTCTTTTTCTGATTGTAAGCGTAAACTGGTTCTTCTCGATTCTTATTCCTTAACACCCAGAACACACCAGTGTGTAGTTCCTGTCGTTGTTCAGTTGGTAGACGTCTATCTCCCGCTGTGTGCACAAAATAAGCACAGTTTCTTCTTCAGGAGAATTCAGACAAGAGTGTGATCGAGCTCCAGCAGTATGCCAAAAAGAACAAACCAAATCTTCACATCCTGAACAAACTGCAAGAAGAAATGAAGAAACTGGCAACTCAGAGGGTAAGAACCCCAGGGGGAAAAAAAGCGGAAAAAATGGAGCTGCCTGTGGATACGTGTTTGCATCCCTGTTCCTTCTTTGTATTTCTGCACCAGGAGGAAACGAGGAAAAAGCCCAAGATGACCATAATGGAGTCAGCCCAGCCAGGCAGCGAGCCGCTCTGCACTGTTGACGTCTAAGTCTCAGAATCACTGAGGAACCACAGCACTGAAACCCGTCACTGTTGACACCACAGGCCACCACCCACCGATAACCGAGCGACACTACCACCCCACGGCAATACGGACGCACCGCCCCGCTTCACCCACCCAGCAAGTAGATGTGAGGGTAGGACGCAATGCACTTACAGCCCCGGAGACGATACGTTCTACCTCTACAGATGCATCCTTGCCTAAACTCAAGCCCAGCGGGATCCAGAGAAGCGGACAGAACCACAGCAGAGGGAAAGTGCATGCTCCCTCCACCACGGAAACACGGGCAAAGGCCGGTTTTCCCTTTTTTGAAGTGTTGTTTTCCACAGTCGCAGTCATTTAGTACCAGCACTTGTGGGTTTGTGCTTGAAGTATTTGAAAGGGTCTACTAATGCTAATATTTATGCCATTTGTTTATAGTGGAAACAGGACTCCTTGTTTGAGTATTTTAATGGTAGTTGTTTTGGATATTTTGGACGGTGTACTTTTTTTTTCCGTTCTTTTTGTTTTCCCATTTTCCTCCGAATGGAGCGCCATCGCCTTGGTTTGCATGATTCACACATGCGTCGTGAAACATTATCTTCATTCAGAGCTGTTGTAATGCACTCATGTCCTGTCGGATGTTTTGTGTGGAGTGATGATGCCGTCGGTACAGAAATAACTGCGCGTGGGGATATTCGGTTGGCTTTAGTTTTATTTTTGTTTTTTTGGGGGGGGGATTGTTTTCTTTTCCTTTTGTTTGTTTTTTTTTCCTTATGGCTTAAGAAGCTCCTGTCCTCCATGCCAACACTGCTGTAAACCCCAGTGTAGAGTCAGAGTACTGTAATGCGATTAAGAAACATTCTCTTATTGCTTTTTAGTTTCCACTTGCTTTTTATTCTAAAATAATAGAATGCTATCAACTCCACCTACTTGGCAAATTGCAGTTGCTTTTCTTCTTAGGTGCCCTTTTAAAAAAATAAAGTTGGCTACATGTTGCCTTAGTTTATCCATTTCATGAAGGGCTCGATCTAATGCATTGGACCTAAAAGTAACAGAAAAATACACCCTTCAGCAGGAAGTGGAAAGACCAAGCCCTATATACTTGATAATGCATATATTGTCTAGGCAACTAGTGTTTTTAATGACATCCTGCAAAATCCTACACATAGGGAGCTTGACTTGCAGCATGTGCATATTTTTAAGACTGGTCTTAATGGATTGTGTATTTTGTGTCTGCAACCATCATGAACGACCACGAGTAGAAAACACTTTACAAAACGCAGCCTTGTAAAAGCTGATGAAACTGTGTATACCAAAGCTTACAAACAGTCTTATGCATTTTCTAGAATCCATAATGTTGCTGCAATCCGCGGAGTGAGACCAGACATGGCTTTGAGAACACGGGGAAAAGGCACAATTGCACCAGTAAAGTCAAACTGTGCGTTCTTTCAAATATCTGGCCTGTACTTTTCTACAAATCATCTAAGGAAACATGCGTTTAAACAAGGCTCTTGTGATAGTGTACGTTGCTTTAAGAATGTGCTTCTCTGCTCTTTACGTGTCTTGTATCACCAAGTTTGTGCTGGTGTGCGGAGTGGGGGGGAAATGTTGGTTTTGTGTTGTACCAATGAATTGTTTGAAGCGTTGCTGCGTAGAGATGTATTGCAACCCGAGCTTTGTGACTTCAGTGCTATTTGTTATGCAAAATAAAATGTCTTGACTAATGACTAAACTGTGCTTTTGCTTTCTTGAGCCACAGATTAAGAAAGCGATTCATTTTTAGTTGAAGCTCTTTATTCTGATGAAGCCATTTGAGTGTTGAATCAGATTTGGAAATGAAACGGTTGGACTAAAACAAGTGACCTTATTGGCTGATCTCTTCATACAAAACCGTATAAAAAAAAAAAAAATAAAAAAAAACACTGTCACGCCTTAGTCCACCCTCTCCAGCAGCAGCAGCATCTCCACGTGCATGGTTTGAGGGAACAGGTCCACGGCCAGGGCTCGGACCGGGCGGAACGGGGCTCCGTGAACCCTGTTGGATGGAGCTCGACACAGGCTGAAAACAAAACAAGTTTTGTCACTGAGGGGTGAGAAAAAAACATCTCCTGAATACGGCAGCTGTTCCAGCTGCTGGTCCTCACTCGATGAAGTTGGGCATGGCTGCCTTGGCGTTGCAGGCCACATAAACCAGCCTCTTCAGATGCTCCGCCCTTCTGATGGCAAGGATCACCTTGGAGTCTGTTAAGGGGTGGGGAGGGGATGCTTTTAAAAACAAACCCCTATGAAAAACTAATCATTAGCCAGCGGGGACTCACGCAGGCCTGCTCTGGGCGGGTCCACGATGGCGGTGAGGTTGGGCGACACCAGAGCGTTCAGGATGCTGGGGAACACGTCCTCGGCTTTCCCGCAGTGGAACTCCACGTTGCTTAGACCTTAGGTGACCAGAAAAAAAAAAAACTCCTGATGTGTGCTGAGTCAGCAAAAAGCAGGCGAGTGCCGTTACCTACCGTTAAGCTGTGCGTTGACTTTGGCGTCCTCTACGGCTTCCTGGCACAGCTCAATGCCGATCACCTTTTTTACCCCCTGAGATGAGAAAGGCCATCATTAGTTCAGGCGATAATACACGTCGACTTTAACTGAAGGAATCTGTCTGCAAGTCTCGTTCCATCAGGGCCGTGTGAAAAAAAACGTCACATCCTACTTTAGCCAGCGAGAGGCCGATGGTTCCGGTCCCACAGCAGACGTCCAGGACCGTGCTGTCCTGGTCCAGCTGGGCCCACTCCCCGACGGCCGAGTACAGCACCTCCGCAGCGCCGGTGTTCACCTGCCGGGGATGGGCCAATCAGCTCCTCCGCTCTCCCCACCCATTCACAGATCTACCCGCAGATCCACCCGCTCACCTGAAAGAAGGAGTGGGGGGATATCCTGAACTTCAGGCCCAGCAGCTCCTCGTGGATGCAGCTCTCTCCGGCCACCAGCTCGCAGGGCAGATCCTCCAGGTTGGGAGAGGTCCTTCACAGGTCAAAGGGGACAGTGTCACTCAGGCCTCGGGTTATTCCAGAGACCGTCTGTCTGACTGTTTAGGCCGGAGTTTTGTTCACCTCTGACCCTCCCTGACGAAATACAGGGAGCTCACGCCGCTGTCTTTCCCCTCTCCGTCTGTGAAATACTTCCCCATGGAGCTTTTCAGAGCATTGAGCTCCTCTTCCTCGAGTTTCTGAGAGACACCAAACGGGTAAAGGGCATTAAAACGTTACAAAAATGCAACTCAAACAATGCGTACATAAGCCGCTGACGTGTCACCTGCGGGTTGAAGAAGGCCATGGCCATGGCCTGTTTGGTCCTTGTGGTGCGCACGGTCAGCTGCTTCCAGTGGCCCTCGTAGGTCTCTGGACTGTACACCGAGTACGGCGTTGTCCTGCTTGCAGGTGAAGAGAGCGGACAGAAGGAGCGACCCCAATCAGATTCCCCGCGTCACATCACCCCCTGCAGCCCGGCCAAACCCGGTCATCTGATTAGTGTTTTCCCACCTGATGAACTTCTGGAATTGGCTGACCACCCTCTTGGCCTCGGCCGAGACGTGGCACGTCCCCTCCGGCCCCACCACGGCGCAGGAGCCCCCTTTGTATTTGCCCAGCCGGAAGCCGATGGTCTTGTCCACGCCGTCGGCCCCCACCGAGATGAGGAACTCGCACTTGTTTCTGTACTCCGTCTGCCGGGATCCGGAAACGAGGGGGGGGTTAGATTCCAGAGCGCACGGAGACGAACTGAGAAAGGGATGAAAAGTTCTGGAAAACACCTGCGTGGGAGACGGACGGATTGCCTCCAGAGGGCAGCACATCTTGTTGTATTTGCCTTTCTGCGCAAACAGCCACGGCAGCATCGCCTTGTTAGTGCTGCCGATCTCCCTGAAAGGAAACGAACCATCAACACCAACTTGGCGCGACGAAATTTCTTAAATTGACATTGTGCCTCATTTTTTCTTATAATCCCCTTTATCCCCCCGAGGGGATAAAGTTTGTGAGGCGGCTGAAATTAAACCACTACCTGCTCTTTAGCATAGTCATATAATGTGACACACCACTTTGCTTGTTGGTGAGGATTCATCAGCACAACTAAAGAAGTTGTGGTTCCACCCTAAATAATTGTGAGATCAGTTGATATGAAGGGTTTTGTAACCGTTGATTCACTGATTTGCTTTTTTTTTTTGCTCTTAAGGCTATGCATTACTTTTATATGGCTGCTTGAGATGCTTATTTTAATCTTAAAATACATGGCCAGTTCTTACTGGCCAGAAGTCTCTTACTTGGCCAGCCTCTGCAGAACGCCCTCCACCTCCTGCTCCTTCCTCCTCAGCTGCTCCTCATAGGGAACCTTCCACAGGGGAGTCACCACGTTGGCTATCTGAACGCCGAGCGGCTCCTCCTCCTCCTCCTCGCCCTCCGTTCGCTTGGAGGCCGGCTCCCCCGCGCCGCCTTCCCCGTCGCCCTGCCTCCTCTTCCTCAGGATGGGGTCGGCTTTGGGTTTGGCCAGCCGGACGCTCAGCACCTGGCCCTTCCACTGCATCCCGTGCACCATCTTCATGGCCTTGTCCCGCTCCTCCTCGTTCTTGAAAGTGACAAAAGCGAACGTCTGCTTGCCAAACAGCTTGATCTTGTGCGGGCTCAGGCCGTGTTTGCCCAGGAACTTCTTCAGGTCGTTGAAGCCGATGAATTTGGGAAGATTCCTGATCTCCACTTTGTAGATCTCGGAGGTGAAGAGGTCTCCTTTGATGTAGCGGTACATGGCGGGGTCAGAGGCCGCCTCAGCCTCCCCTTCAGCTTGAACATCAGGGTTGACAGCGTCCGTTTTGGAGCCATGGTCATCAGGTGTGCCTTCGGTTGAGGACGTTGCATCAGCAGCTGGACCGACACCAACATCGGCCATCATTCTTTTAACTGAGAAAAACACAAATCAGTCGATTTGCAAAAGTCTACAAACCGCTATTTCTGCATTGTAAACAACGTCTGACATCGACAAATTACTGCAAATCAAAGACAGTAACGTTAAGAATAACTGTTGAAAATCCCAAAAAATAATGTGGCCACAACGATTTCCTTTAGTAACTATAACACGTAAATGCAATCATCAATTCTAAAAGCTTTAACGTAACATTTCAATCTTTGCAGTCAAAAACACCTGTAACATCTTAAAAATGACTTTCCACGCAGAATACCTTAATTCAACTTGTTTGGACTCCACTCCTCATCAGACTGAACAGGGCGGCGCCATATTGATTTGACCACGTGCGCAGTGACCTCTGAACTTCTTTAAAGTGGTAGTCTTCGTTTTTCGGCCTCTGGCGTCCTAAATATTTAGTCACTTCTTTGACCGTACAGGTTCAAACTTAAATTATGTAATAACCTATGAGATGCTAAGAATAAATACTAATAAATAAAAAAGCGCCAATTGTCAATAAAAACGTTGCCAATAAATTGTTGTATTTGTTTACAGTGTTGACATTTTACAACTGAAGTTTATAACTGCTTCAATGTAAGACTAAGTGTAATACACACATATAGAATTAGAAATTAACAATAAATAAATAATATGAAATATTCAACACTTGCCAATAAAATTATGTAGGTACAGAATTCCTAAGGATATTCCTTTCACAGTCTAAAACATAAATAAAAATATTTCATGAGTCTATTATTTTTCTCTTACAATCTATTCAATATTGGACTGTGTTTAACCCAACTAACGCGTTGCTTTTCAACCTACTGAATTCAAATCTATATTTCCACCAGGACCAAGCTGATGGCTGACATGCACTACATCAGACCCTGAAGTGATTCACCTCCCAGAGGTTGAATTTATTCGTTTCTGTTTGTGAGTACTGAACGCACAAATACATATTTTAGAAACAGAGACCATCATGTAGCCTGTATGCCGCCTGAGCCAGAGGTGGGAGGTTAAAGTATTTTGTACATTATAAGTGTAGAAGTGTAGAAAATGTACATATTAAATGCGCTAACTGATTTAGTGACTCGTCTGCGATCCATTATTAAACATTTTTAGCACTATTTTATAGCCAGCTATACTAAAATGAATCAATTCCGCAGAAGTTTGGGAATTTTCTACTGTTAGATTTGATTGTATCCCACCACAAAGTGGTGTAAAAACAATGGCAGCCGGAGAGGCGCTGCGCGCGCCGTGGCGGTGGGGGCGCGGGCAGACTTTAGAGAATTCGGCGCGCGAAAGCTCGAGCAGGAAGTGAGTGTAGCTGAAGGGAAACGGCGGCCAGTTTGGGATTTGAATCACTCAAACTAGTTCCATAATCTACAAACATCTACATTAATATGGCAGACCCAAAGGTGAGGATGTGTAATCTAGGTTACTCAGTGTATTATTTTTGCTTGGAAATATGAATTTCGTCGCGGGCAAAGTATTTTGTTTGTTAAATTTAGCCAAAAGTTTGGAAAGGAAACGGCGAGACAGATATGCCGACAATGATGCGTTCTGTGACGCTGGTAAAGCTAATTTGAGTGATTGTATTACTTTTAATGGTTGTGAGACATTGTTTGTGCTCTCTCGGAAGACTTCAACACAGTCTTATGTCCGTTCAGAGATTTATTTGTGCTCCTAAATAACGTTTATGAGCTCTGGAGGACTCCAAAGTGCCCAGGCAGTAGGCATGTTAACATTAGCATCCTTACTATGCTTTCCAGCACGGGGACCAAACTGGCTCACATTTACTTTATTCATTGTCGCCAGTTCAAACGGGAAATTGAGTGCCGACATAGTCGTCACGTCCAATACAACGAGGTTAGCTCGATTTATTGCCTTTGTCTGCGCAGCACAGCAGTTGCTAACATTAATTGGCTAACGTTAGCTTTTATGATGGGTCACTGCTGATGGCGAGGGCTACCTTTGATGGGATTGATAGCGTCAACTGTTGTATTACAGTGCCAATTATTGTCAAAATAAATTAATCAAAGTTAGCATGTTATGTGGTAACTCTAGAGTTTGGTCGTGAGCATGCTCATTGGTTCAAGAGCCAAACTGTTAGCTCCCGACTAGCTTGCTAAAGAGGCCTGGTCATCTGGCTTTGAAACTTTGAGTCGTAAGTAAGATAAAGTTGAGCAACTCTTCGCTCAATGTGCTGAAGTTAATTGAAACAACGACTTTAAGCAATTTTAGATGATTCGTTTACGCATTCAAACCGGTGGATAAAGAACTTAAGCACACCGGCATCGTGATGTGTTTAATGTCGGTAACAAAAACAGGTTATCATGCTGTGACCTGCACTTTGGCTAACCGTGACGCTGCTAACTAGCATCTCTGGTAGAGAATTTTCCCATCTGAAGACAGTGCGCCGCTTTTGCTGCCTGTCGCATCCTACATGATGCAGAGCAGAGTGCTCACTGCTGACTTTTTTCATTCTGCTTTCACTTGAGCACATCCTTTGAAATGTACGACCGCTTTCATTTCAGCCCCCTTTAAGTCACACATTGTGCTGTTGGCTCCGTAGTTAATAGTTGTTTTTTTTGTCCACCAATGTGAGGACATGCAACTGAAATGACATTAAAGATGCTTGGCTCAGCAGCTGACTTACAAAAGCCTTTGTCAGTTCCCTCTACAAAAGCTGTACTTACTCAATGAGCTCTCAAATCCCCCTGTCCACGCTTTCCTGGCCTGTTGGCCTCTTGACTGAAATCCAAATGAACTACCCTATCCATGAATACTTTCTCAGTAATTCCAAACTCTTCACTTTCCTTAAAAATGACTCATTAACTTTTTTTCTTTTGCTTTAGGACCAGGAAGAGCATGAAACCACTGCAGATAATGCAGAGGATTCTAATCACGACCCCCACTTTGAGCCCATCGTGTCCCTTCCTGAACAGGATGTTAAGACGTTAGAAGAGGATGAGGAGGAACTCTTTAAAATGTAAATTTCCTTTAAGATGATGGGGGATGTGTGACTTGTGTGCAAAGCAAGGTCTAAACTCATGTTGTATGAGAGATGGCAGTACTGTCTGTTAGCAATATCCCGATCCCCTAAAAAATTAATTAATGAAGTGGCCCTCTGCTTTCACAGGCGGGCTAAACTATATCGTTTTGCCTCTGAGAATGATCCACCAGAGTGGAAGGAGAGAGGAACTGGTGACGTCAAACTGCTGAAACACAAAGAGAAAGGCACAATCCGCCTCTTAATGAGGAGAGACCGGACGTTGAAGATTTGTGCCAACCATCACAGTGAGTTTACTAATAAGATCTAGTCCAACCTTACTTTTTTTTTTTTAAGAAATGGCAAACACATGTGAATCTCAGATTATTTTTTTGTCGCATCAACAGTGTATACAAAGTATTTTCCTCTGAGTATTGGCATCCCAAACCTGCTCGGCATGTTGTCCTTCCTGTGCTAACCCTGTTCACCCTTTTGTGTGACCTGCAGTTATGCCGATGATGGAGTTGAAGCCCAATGCCGGCAGTGATAGAGCGTGGGTGTGGAACACACTAGCAGATTATGCTGATGAATGCCCCAAACCAGAACTGTTGGCAATACGCTTTTTAAATGCAGAAAGTAAGCGTCTTTAGGTATTTCCTTTGACACCCCTGGGTGCCTAGACCTATTTGCATTGGTTTATAAATCTTTTTCCATCTACAGATGCTCAGAAGTTTAAGGTGAAGTTTGACGAATGCAAGGAGGAGGTCCGAAAAAGTCAGGAAACAGGTACGACTACACAACGTGCACAGTTGACTGGTTTCTGATGACTGGTATTGTTTGCTGGCCTTTACACACTGTGGCGACCCCTGAACAATGTAAAATGAAGTAGATCTTTTGTAAAAGGCCAAAAACAATGACGCTCAGACTACATGATACTTCCTACATACTTGGATTTGAGGGGATGGGTTTGGCCTCATAAGTTGAAGTATCCGGTGCTCTTGCTTGCAGTTGTAAGTTTGCAGACACACTCTGTTCTTTGCTGCGCACTCCAGCTTGGGACTTTTTCTGTCTGCTACATGAAGCGCAGATTGTAACCCTGTACCTGCCTTCTAAAAGGGCGGGGTCCGTTCATTCTGCCACATCAGCCCCTTCAGATGAAGTTAGGATTGGTTTGTTAGAGAAAGGGGGAAATTCTTGATATGCAGAATTGAAACGAAAGCTCGAAGATATCCAAAATGTGACGCACCAAAAAGCAGCCTGGGTTAACATGTCGCATCACTGTTTTGATACAGGAGACACTGATAGTACAAACAAGGTGGCTGAGAAGCTGGAGGAACTCTCCGTTAAAGACAAGGCATCGGAGCAAAAGAAGGACGAGGGGAAGAAAGAGCCAGAGAAGAAAGATGAAAAAAAGGAGGTGAAAGCCGAGGAGAAGAATTGAAAACCAAGAACGTGCTTTGCTGATCGTCTCTGTATGAGTTTTTCCTTTTTTTTTTCTTTTTTTTTTTTCTACAATAGACTCTAAATGAACTGAATTTGGACACTCACATATTAGTTTTTTGTTTTGAATTTTTTGCCTCAAGATCACAAGTCCTTGATGCCACTGGGGAAAAAATATTAAGTAGTGAATTTCCAAAATATGCCCCTCCCACCTCCATGGAATGCCATGCTTTCTGTCCTCGTCAACGACAGCCGTGTTACTTCTGACAAACCACGAAAAGGCTTGTGATAGCAGCAATTCCCACATTGGGTTTTTCTTTTTCTTTTTTACCTTATTCTGAAGCAGAGTATGTAGGGGTGAGGATAATGTAGCCTGCTTTTTTTAGCAGCACAGGGTCAGGGACCAGGCATCTTAGAGGTTTGTGATACACAAATGTGAAACCCCACGATGCAGCTCGGTGGGCCTGCTCACACTTCCACTGTTGGATAACGCGTAGGATGGTGTCACAGTGGATGCCTTGTAGAAGTAGTTCTTTGTTGGTTCCTTCTCTGATCTGCGCTTTTCGTAGCTGAAGACGAGAGGAATCTAATCCAGACAGCTGAGGGGTGTCGATGAGTGCTACAGACTGTAATGTCCACGTATTACTGACTGACGATTCAGATGCACTTAGCTAAGAATCTTTTTCCTTTTTTAGTTAGAAGTATCGAACGTTATGAAGCCCAAAGCAAACGGTTCACTGGTTTGGTGCAGCTCTAACTCAAATTCCTCACCGTGAGATCGAGTTTCAACTCTTCGACTCATAACATTCCTAGATTTCAAAGCATGTAGAGTTTATGTAACAGAGTGTACCCCATCTGATCTGTGTGCTCAACAACAGCTCCCCCCCCCTCTGAGTTCTTAACCTCGCCTCTTCAGCGCATCCAAGTGCCAGTGCATCTGTAAATACATGTACATGGATGAAATGTTGCTCCTCATTTGCACTCAGATGATCTGAAATGTTTCCTCCAACTTCAAATAAAAGCTGTTATGTACGTCGTTTGCATTCGTAAAAAGGATGGCTTGTGTCGGGGTGGCAGAATGGGCGTGAGACCGGGATGCAGGCCATCATTCAGAGCAGAGACGAGTCCGCTTCAGTCGGGTTGAAACTTTTATTTACTTTGCTCGGGTCATGGGAATATTTCTTCTCCACAAAAATAGGAACACATACAGTTATAGTGTATTCTATATAATACATATCTGTGTTTTGGAAAACAACCTCAGCTTGTGGCTGAATGTCAGGAATGGCCCCTGACCTGCAGTGATGTCCACCCCACAAAGGGAACACTGGACTAAATGGCAGTCGTCTTAAGGAGGAATGACATCGATTGCATCTTGATATGTGGTCATACAGGGGTCTGAAAGCCATGACAGAAGGGGGCTCTAAGGAAACTCAGCAGCTAATGGTCTGCTCCGCGAGCTAAAGATGTCCCACTGATTAAGCAATCCGTCATCTTAGTTGAGCCCTATTTACCAGCCTCACATAAACTTGGAGCATGTCGTGAACACATGGCTTGAGCAGACATTCTGGGTTACTGTTCTCCTCTGGGTAAGGCAGCTGGGTGAGATCTCAGACCGTGCTGGCCAGAGCCGTTGAACTACAGCTAGTGTCAGTAACATCCAACTTCAGCAGGAGCACCGCAGCCTGTGGCCTCTGAGCTGCAACATCTGGGGGAACCCCCCCCTAAAACTGCCATGATTTAACAATAAATGTAATCCTATGTCACTTTGTACATCAGCTGCTTTTTCTCAAAGGTTCTCGTTAAGAGTTTAGCCCCTCTAAGATGTGTCGCTTTTGTGTCATTTCGTCGTCCTGTGGTGTACGTGGTGAGCTGCAGTTCATTGTCATTAACATAACTTTACTCAAAAGGCAGCAATGGTTTCTTTTTTTTTTTTTCTTCCCTTAATGGAAACGTGACATTTTACATCTGCAGAATTCCTAGCATGACGCCCACTCAGTTAAGTTATATTTCTTGTTAAAAGCAGAAGGAAACATTACAGGTGGATATTCCCCAAGCTGTACCAGACAGCTACTGCGAATTGGCTGATTTGATCCTTTTCACTGGGAGGTGACGTCACCAGTTGGCGGTCGGTGAGAAGTTAAAGGTTCGGACATCTCAACACTGCCTGGGCAGAAAGTTCGACCTCTGACCTTTGAGCAGGCCCGCTGGCAGCATTCCCTACGCCACCGGACCGCTGGCTGACCAAAGATGGCGACAGATTTAATAATTTCCACATCACAGGTCTATCATTTACATTTATCATACACTATTTTTTGTTTACTTTTTTTCTTTTACACAGCAAAGTATAACAAGCTATATTAGATTTACCCATTCCTCATGATTTTAATAATTTATGAGCAAAAAAAACCAAAACAACTCCACTCAAAGGATAATATCTATTCCAGACTTAAGTAGCTATATAAAAAGTATATCAAACAGCTTTAGAAAGTTTGGATATATAAAAAGAAAAAAATGGAAGGAGAAAAAAAACCAAACAAGCCCTAAAAAAACATGACATGGGCGACCAATTCGGTTAGCTTTTTACTGTATGTGAAAATGACTTTTTTTTCCTCCTTTCCGGTCATGTGATCGTAGCACAAACTCAACCTTTCCTCCCGTTTCCTGTCTTTTTTGGTTTGTGGCTGGACTCGTTCTGTTGGGATGAGGTATTCTGGTCAGTCAGAACACAAGTATACCAGCTCTACGTCTGTGTCCCAACACTCGGAGCCATCTTAAAATGAACCGAACAAAGCCCACATTCATGACGTGTGAATCCATATCGGCTCGCATCTCCGTTGGCTGCATTGATTCCTGAGAAAATGATTTGAAACGAAGATAGTGTATCTCATTAAAAGCAAGCCTTTCTCATTGGATCTGGAATGCAACCACCCTGCTTGACGAGATGACCCCCCCCCTTCACATCCCCACATTCTCCTCCGGCCGGCCATTTCTGCCCTTACGCATCACGCCCCAGAGCTGTAAACATGGGCCACATATGCCGCCGGTGACCAGAACAGTACAGGTTAACGCGAGCCACCGCAAATTCTCAAAAACAAAAACAAAAAAACATGTCGGAAGAGTGTTTCTTGGCAGAGGTCAGCCGTGAGGATGCCGGCGTGTGACCCACCGCTTTCCGCTCGGCTCCTGCCGTATCTGGAGTCTGGAGGCCTCAGAAGCGTCGTGACCGCCGTGATGAGACAAAGACGGCCTTTGTGGGACGTTTTTCTTTTTTTTTTTTTTTTCAACCAAAACGATGAGTCACACCTAAAGAGTCAAAAACGGCAGAGGCCCCGACTGCCCTGGAAAACCAAACCGGAACTTAGGACAGCTGAGGACTTTTTAGCTGATGGGTGTGGGTAAGTGGATGGGGGGTGTTCTGGCTCACACAGATATTTCATATGTGGTGCCTCCGACACCTGTCACCTTTTTGACGTTACCGTGGCGACCGGGGCTGTGGGCGGCCCCCTGGCTGCCCAGGTGGCAGTCCATCTGCCCGTTTGCTTTCATGGCCTCCCTGGATGGAGAGAGAAGAGCAGAGAGAGAGGATTCAGCACAAAGAGCCTCGGCACACTCTTCTGGCTGCGGACGCGTGCAGGAAGGCATGACGGCGGGTTTTAAACCAAACAGACAGGTGAAAACAACAGCGTTAATGATCGCTCTGAGTCCTACTTGTGGGTGAAGACTGGCGTCTGGGACTGTTAGGCAAAGCATGCGAATGAGAAAGGGGACATGAGGAGTCACGCAGTTTTATTAATACGTCATTTGTGAAACCATGCAAAACAAAAAAAGATGTTTTTTTTCTAGAAAGGCAAAACAGAAAAACATGAAAAGACAACGTGCAAATTCACAGCAAAAAACATCGTGTGAATAAATGGACAAGAAGAGCCGGACGGACACCACACGCCTCGTACACACGCTACGTGTCGTTTCGGTTAGTAGCCGCCTACGGCACCGTAAATCTCTGGCTATGTCCAGCAGAAAAAACAGCGACGTGTCCAGCGGGGATGCGTTCACCGCCCGGCATGCGAGTCCTCCGGGGGTGGGCGCTACCATTCGTACCTTGGGCCTCCTCCCATCCGAGGCGAGTCAGTCCTCTCGTGGGCGGTGATGTAGGACAGTTTGTGGTGGGAGTAGGAGGGCGAGCGGGGCATAGCTGGGGAGTGGGGCTGGTGGGCCGGGGAGCGGTAGAGGCCCTCGATGCCGGGGCCCCTGCCCTGGCTGCTGTTGCTGCTGCTGTGGTCCGTGTGCAGGGACGTGGACGAGGTCCGGGGGGCGCGGCCCAGGGTGGAGCCGGCGTGGCGCAGCACGGGGGTCCTCTGGCCGTAGCTCACCAGGCCCGCCCCCATCAGGTTGTCCCGAGAGCCCCCGTAAGCCGGAGGGGTCGGGCCCCGGGAGCCGGGGCCTCGGGGCGCGTCCGGATAGCAAGAAGCGGACGGCAGGCCGTAGCCCCCGTCGAACATCCCGGAGTCCTGGGCGTAGAGGTGGGTCTGGGAGCGCCCGCGCAGCATCTGCCGCTTCTCCCTCTCCTCCATCTCCTTCCGCTCCTGGATGGAGGCCATGATGGTTTGGGAGAGGTTGTCGTAGCGCACCGGGGACGGGTCCCGGTCCCTCGGGTGGGGGGACTGTCGGCCCACTGCTCTCGGGGGCATCGCCGGACTGTACACGGGGGCCACCTGCTGTCTCTGCATTTCGGGCTCCCGGATGTGGCACAATTTGGCGGGCAGGTAGGGGGAGTGGAACCCGACGGAGGGCACAACACGGTGGGCCACGCACTCACCGGCACTGGCCGGGGAGATGCTGGGGTTGAGCAGGCTGTCGTAAGACAGGCTCCCGTTGCGATTGGAGAGAGTGTTCGGGGAGAAGACGCCCCTGTACGGGGTGGAAGTCACGGCCTGGGGCGACAGCGCCTGGATCTGGCCCTTCTCCGCCCGCCGGTGAGCCTGCCTCAGGCTGAGCGAGCGCGAGCCGACCGGGTCCGAGTCCAGCTGGAGAGGCGAGGACTGGAAAGTGCGGTGGAGCGGCGCGTTGGCGTACTCGGGCAGGTCCAGGTTGGGCTCGGATCTGTAGTCATGACCACGGACGCCTTCTTCTAAAATGGCAGAAGCCTTTCGGTCGTCCGGCATGACAATCTGAGGAGCAAATATAGACATCACAGCAATGGTAATGTGAAATCTACCCCATGTACAGGAAAAACCACAAAAGGAAGTCTCCGTACCCTGTCTCCTGCATTGTGGTAGTGGACTTTGGGCATGGTGCCAAAGGACGGCCGGTATTTGTACATAGCCGGAGTTGATGGGTGGGTCTTACCAGAAAGAGAACTTTCTGTAACACAGAGAAGGAAAAAAAAAAGGCAATGAGCTATTTATATGGGAGTGAAGAGGCTGGTGGAGATCCACAGAGTCATGATCTCCACCTACTGACATATTGGCAAATCTGCACGAGTCAGTTTGAGTTCACATGTGACAGCTGCTCCAAAAATGAGGGAAAGCTGCTCTTCAGCGAGCTGCCGCCTCTACTCTGACACTTTACATGTTTAGGAGAGAGATGCAAACGGATCTTTTTTCTATAAATGAAAAGGTTTTTAATTTGTCAGAGGATTCTTAGACAAATAGAAACCTTCATTTCTTACTACTGCGGTGCCTTTGGGTGCCAGCAGGTGGCAGCAGCGGCCTGTGGGGGCGGAGAGGGTTCACTCCCTGACATAATGCAGCATGACACTGTAGAATGATCCTCAGAAGGGAACCTGCGGCTCACGTTACTGTACACATACGTGACGCGTCATACCGTTGCATGCTACCGGAGCCCCGTAGCTGCACAGCCTCTAAAACAGACGGGCTCAGAGTTCACACGGATGGTTTCAACATGCATCTACAGATCTGATAGTGGGCAGCCACCACGGGAAAGAAGGTGGTGATTCATGCTGCGATTGTAGCCCAAAAAAAATGGTGCTGATTCAGGGAGCAGGGCTGGCCTGGTCACAGCATTGTCTGGCCATCAACTGTCAGTTTTCACGGAAACAAACCCTCATCAGGGCTTAATAAGGGCCCACTCAAACTGCAGCACTGGGGGAGCACAGATGGAGTTTTGGGGGGAACTGAAAGGACCAGAAAAGGGTTCTTACCTTCACTGGAGGTGAGCTGACTCTTTAGCTGGTTGTACCTGTCAGCTTTGGGTGGCAGTGGTGGCTGAGTTTCTTTGCTGTCCAAACCATCCAGGCTGCTTTTGGACTGCGTGGAGGAGAGAGGGGGAGTTAAAAGCATCCCGAACAGGTGGGGGGAACGGCACGTTTAGCAGAGAGGGCCATCTGTTGTTGTTTAGGACGCACCGACACAGCTCCCACAGCGGGGCAGGTTGGCTAAGCTAAACATGGCTGCTGCTCTACAAACGCCGACACATATTCTTTTCAATCAATAACTAAGACAAGTTAGAATGGCAAATCCACAGTTAAACCAGTACACGTATGAAAGAGTGCAAGTTTAATTTAAATCAATTATTTAATTCAAGCCTAAGTTAGCTACATTCAGTCCACACCACCCGAATTCATTTGGGTCCTACATATTTATCATATATATTAAAAATGATCAATTATACCTTTCAGAAATAACTGAATTGCCTAATGTTAAATCAAATATAGCAAGTAAAACCCAAGAAAATTGAATCATGACCAAAATGACGTTGGTATTGGTACTCTCTGATTCTTCTGCATGTTATTCCTTTTTGCTCTCTTTCTCACAGCTCCTGCTTGGCCTTTACTGTAAAATGTCAATGAAAGGCAAAATGCCCCTCCCTCAAACATCTGAGGACCACATTCTGCTCAGTCTAACTCAAAAAGGTCAAACGAGCATGAGAGAGTTTTGATCTCATATCTTCAGGCGGATGTTTTTCTTTTTCTCGATTTGAAAAAAAAAAGAATGTGAACAATTGACTGGAAATAAGTCTGATGATGAATTCAGTGTCTGTACCACTGGATTAAAGGCTGGAGAAAAATAACTGAATTCCTTTGTGGATTTCAGTCCCCCAAAAGTGTTAAAGTAAGGATGTTTTTGTATTGACTGCAGATGTCCACTCTTCTCCACAGCTATTGAATGCAGGTTGCCAATTAAATCAGTGGTAGAGTGAGCAGTAAAAACATGAATCCAAAGCATTTGCTTTTGCATTTAAATCAATCACATACAGACACACAGTGTTTCCTTTCAGTCAGTAAAAGTGCGGTTCATTGTCCTTTTCTGAGCCACTTGTTTTTAATGTCAAGAGGCATCAGCCAATCACTGTTTCTGCGACATGGAAGTGCTCTGAGTTGGTAATTTATTGAATTCCCGCCCACTTTAACCATTTAAAGTCTGATAAAAGAAACAACAAAAAATAACAACAAAAAAAAAAATCCTTTTGAGTATCTAACATTTACTACCCTGCCAGAAGTCAAAATGATGTTTGTGTGGCATCAAGTGTATCAGATTGTGCACAACAGACTTGTGTGTGATGTGAAACGTCTCAGATGCAGAATTTGTTTGTATCAAATGTGATAGATGCGGTGCCGTAGGGTTCAAGTCTGACGGGGGATATGGAATGAGGCTAAACGAGGGGAGAAAGGTCAACTGTGAGACAGAGTAGCTGGAGGGAGCTCAGCGGTAGCTGCGAGGTGCTCACCTTGGAGCTGATTATGGTGCTGTGAATGCCGTTGTCGCTGACCTTGATGGTGATTTGCCTGTCTGAGAGATCTGGTCTGATGAATGGGGGCTGAATTTTGACATGGGCCTTTTTCCTGGGGTCCAGCCTGTACCTGTAGAAAAAAAGAAAAACGCAATCAGGAGCTCTCTGATTACATTTTCTTTCATATACTAAATCTTAAATTCGAAATTTCAACCCGTGTTCAGCTTTCAATGTGAAGTGGATTTCAAGGTCTCATTTGGCTTGTTTACCGAGGACATTTCAGACTCATCTCCTCTAGTAAGGACAGAGTAAAAACACACGCTGCATCTTCCACGTGTCAAGCTATCAACTCCTACTCAAAGAAAATCCCTGATGCACCGTCGGATTTTAAAATGCTTTTCTGAAGTCTTTTCAGTAAAAGTCAGGTCAAACATTTACTGAGCCAGTGGTTCGGTGAATCAAAAATCTTCCATCGGGGACCACTTAACTGGGAGGACGATGTTTCCCCTCACACAGGCTGTTCCTTTTTATGGTACAGCACTCATCCCAAAAGCATGTAAAAACTTTACTGGGTTTAAGCGATGCTGTGTGTGTGTGTGTTTAAAGTGGGCTGACCAGCTCCCATTTAACTGTTGGTACACAGCCCCCCACCCCCATTCCTTCAGGCTGGATGCACAGCTTTAGCAGCCTCCTCAGAGCATGTGCATGCACACTCAGGTGGGGCTGCGCCATTTCTATCTGCGCACATTTGTGCTCACACGCACAAAGGTTCCTCCTCAGTGTTGAAACGGAAGGCAAAACGGCGTCTAAACGCACGTTCAGTGAACGCGCGCACGCAGACGGTGCCGTTGAACATCTTACCTGGGTGCCTGCGGGCTGCACAAGATGTACTCCACGTTGCCACAGCAACCCTTGGTGAAAGGATTTACTCCTCCACGAAACTTGCCCGTCACCTGAGGAAAACAGAGATTCGCTTAGAGCTGACAGGAAACGGGAGCACAAGGCCACGGTGCGCGCGCAATACGTGCACAAGCGTGGCCCTGCCCAAAGAGGGACTAACACTGGAGTACAAAAAAATATAAAAACGAGGTCCTCATTGACTCAGTTGCTGTTTTAAAGTATTGGGCTGATTGTTTTTGCTCATGCACATTCATTTAGAAGCCGAATGAGCTGACTATGTGTGCACAAGGCCTTCCATCAGCTCCCTCACCTGCTCATTGGTCGTTCGGCCACGAGCCACAAGCACCATGTGAAAACCTGTGAGCCCCATGACCGGAATAAAGAACAGCCCCGTTATGCACATCACCACCAGGCTGGAGGCAAAAGTCAAGGCAACAACACAACAGAGACACAAGCCTTGGATTTGAAGATTTAAAACCCCGTTTGCCGGGGTCCCCAGGTTTGTGTTCAGCCAAAGGATACGTGACAGTGGTGTGCAGCGCGGCCAGCCTTTCCTTGTGGTGGAGGACGAAGATGAGGCCAAATGAGAAAACGCCCACCATGTGGACGCTCAGCGACAGCAGGAAGAGGAAGAAGTAGCGGTAGTTCCTCCGCCCGATGCAGTTGTTCACCCACGGACAGTGATGGTCAAAGTCCTGAGGAGGAAAGTCAGTCGTGGTAATGGAAAAAGACAGTGGTGAGAAACTACTCTGGGGTTCTTTTTCTGGTTTTGGTGACTTCGGACCAAAATCTAAAGAGAGTGCTGGGCCTTTGTTTGTCTGGCAAAGATTTGAACTGTCTCTCAAAGCAAACTCTTGGACATTTGCATGAGCACCGCAGGGTCGCCCTTTGGGGCAAAGTCCCTCCTGGGAGATTGGCAAATAGAACTTATCACCACTGTTAAATGTAATAAAAACTAGCTAAAGTGTAATTGGACATGCTTTTGGCGCTTTATCTGTGCCGTGTGACCGACAGATTGTTAAAAAGCTCAGAGGATCATACAGGGGCCCAACACAAGCTCTGTCTGAGTACCTCCCATCAGGGGGCAGACTTCATTTTTACAGAAGCAGTGAGGACAAATTTGATAGTTCACATACTCCTTTTGCATTTTGGTGTTAAATGCAAGATGTTATTGGCAAAATTAGACTGGATCCGAAGATTCCATTTGATAAGTAATACATTAAAAGTGCTGGAGGGTGTAATGCTTTGTGTAAATCCTAAGAAATAGGCTAACAAATCACACCCGATCTGCATAAAACAGGGATTCTGTCTGAGTGTCATCAAACATAAGTGCAATCTAGTCTTGGTGCGCGCTCCCTGCGCACGTGCGGAGCACAAACGTCTGCCTGGCCCCTGGTGTGGTGTGGGTGTGTGTGTGATCACAGGGTTTACACACCTCCACGCAGTTGTCACAGACGCTGCAGTGCGAGCAGCGAGGCGGCCGGTAGAAGTGACAGGTGGCGCACCACTTCATCCGGACCTGAATGCCTTTGATCTCCACGTTTTTGTAGAGCGGCGCTCGGAAATCATCGTCCTTGTCCTCGTCCTCGTCCGCTGTGGGACGCACACCCAGAAACAGACAGAAAAAGGCATTAGCGCGGCGGAAAATGCTTGCGGAGGCGATGGGGTGTGGAGGAAAACATTTAGTTCACGTGGGGCACAAACACAGACATAGCTTTGGATGTGATTTATGTTTCCTTTTTGACGGGGGGCCTAAATGAAGCTCATCCCTGCTGTTATCTGTCTGCACAAACACTATGAACCTCTTTGGTTACATAGAAGTAACTTCTCATACATGCATTCCCGGAATGGCTGGCTTTTTTTTCTCAGCAGAGTTAGTGCCGGGGACAACTGTAGCAACAGCCTCCGCCTTACAATATGAAATCAGATTCTGCATGCTGCCATCTTCAGAGGAATTCTGCAGCCAAACTGTGTGTATGAAGCTCCTTCTGAGGTGGAAAGCTCTACGCTTTGGAACCGCAGCAGGAGAGGAAAAAAGTCTGTCAGCCGATCAAAGCGTTGATTCGTTCGACGCTCAAACTTGAGAAAATCATTTCACAGGACAATAATAACTGCGGGGAGAGCCAGGTATTTGAAGCCACGGAGAAAGCAGGCGGAAGCGAGCGGATGGGGAAAAAAGAAGAGAGAAACAAAGGCAGAGCACAGAAATAAAAATGTTCCATGGCGAGAGGCTACTCTGTTATTATGGCTCTCAAGTGGATTCAAATAGATTTTAAAGGTGAACCGCTTGCCAAATAAGCTGACACAAACAGCCGTTATACTCGCATCTCCTCTCAGCTTTTTTTCCCCTACAAAATCACACTGCAACTAGGCAAATGATTGGCTCATTTCTTACTAAATGCACGGCCAAGCTGACAGTGGCCTCTATTTTTAGCACAAAATATGTGAAGCAAAGTACGACCTTTGATATTTTCATTTCTTTTGACCACAAAAAATGTGGTTCTTAATTCATGTGTGTTGTCTTATTTGTTGTTTCATGCTTCCAATAAAGGAATGGGGCCAACAACAGATAAGAGGAACCTAACTGGAGCTGCAGCTGTGCGTGCGTAAAGTCTGAATCCATCATCTTGGCTTGATCTTGATTTCGCTGTTTACGTTTATGGATCTAACTCCCAGAGTCTTCGGACTTCATTAGCTCTAGTTTGACGGTGCACGTGAAGGTCAGCTGAAACATTGACATTAGGGGCTGCGGGAATCAATTAGCTTTGAAATTTTACGAGTCACCGGAACCAGACATGCGATTCTGCCTGTGCGTGCTCATGTCTCTGCAGCTCCTGACCATAAGCGCTTCCCTCCAGAGAAAATAAACAGCATGAGAAAGACACAGAGAGGCTTTATTTGTTCAGCCAGGGTTAAATACCATTATCAAAGTTTAACCCATTGACCGTCAGCTGATGAGTAGATAACTATAAAACCCATCAGTTCGATGGCTATTGCTGAGGACAATACAATGATGTCATTTAATATAGTGAGATGATGCCAATGCTATGCTAAAATTCTACCACCTAAAAAATGACTAAACCTTTTGGCTATCAAACTACTCCAAAAATGTTGTGACCTGCAGTTATACGATGTTAGAATTAGCGACTTTATGCATATTCTGTCCTATAAACGGACAAAATTGAGGCAGTTTGCTTGCATTATGACCCATAGAAACCCTGCTTGTGTTGTTTAGAGCATTCTTCTGTATCTATGAAATCAAGTGTACTTTGTTTAGTAAAATTAAATAAAATAAAAAACAACCAGAAATGGGACTCTTTATAACGTTAGTTTTATCAAACTGCTCCCTATTTAATCATCTAGCCGAGACCTAACTCAGTTTCTATACACTTCGGTTTCAGAAAGAGTCATGTGTTGGTATTGATTCCGAGTCATCCAGTTCCAGGACTTTGAATAAGGGAAACCAGAGTTCTGCAGCAATCTTGAAGATTTTCCAGTTTTGTTTGTTTTTTCAGTTCAGAACTGAAGGAGCCTTTTGGATGAGGGCTGAACTATCTTCAGGATCCATCAAGATGTCAAGCTGCCCTTATACAAGGGCTTAAGATCATTCAGAAAGAGGAGAAAATAACTGGAGATTCCACATAGATCTAATATATTTTACAGCTTGCAAAGAGAAATGAAAATAAACTCATACTTTTATTCAGAGCTTTATACGTTTGGTTATTGTCTGTCTTTTATTGATATTTCTCTGCACGTTTTACTGCATTTTGAATATAATACTATGAGATTTCTTTAAAAGAAAGAAAAACACAGCGGCTGCAGCATGAGGTCATGGTTATCTCTACAGAGACGGATAACATTTTCCATAACCTTGCGATTATGACCCCTCTGTGAGTAGAAAATGCTTGTCTACTTGGCAGGTCTTATCGTTTTCAACAACGCTGCAAACATCACATTAATGGCTCGAATCACCTTTACTTTAGTCGGGTAGGTTTGAGGACACGGGATCAAATCCATTAATGCCACTGTTCCGCTCTGATGAACGCCCTGTAGAGTTTAATAACTTAAACCCGAGGATGTAACATAAGGTAAGACGTGGATACACACCTCTGGGGTAAATACCAGGGTCCATGAAGGTTGCCATGCTAAAGTTGGCCAACACGAAGAGGAAGACCAAGCCATTGTAGAGAGGCACAGCGGGAGAGATCACCTTTGTCAACCAGGGGCACCTGAAAAAAGAAGAAACAAGGATGGTTATTTTCAACGCATGTGTTTCTGATGCTCTGCACGTGATTCCCTTAGAATGACTAAATGTCCAATAAGCTCTTTTGTTGAAGCTAAATGCTAAACTAATGTACACTGAATTTTGTGTAAATAGAGTGCAGCAGCTGTCTGAGGCTCTCAGCTTTCGGTCAGTCTCTGCTTGACTTAAATTCTGGTGGAACAAATATACAAACTATGAAAGATCCAGATCACATGAACTTAAACGTCAGGATAGCATGTGCTAGCAACGTGTCCACCAGGACATGCTGAAGAGATCCTGCAGACCGAGACTGGCAGAAAAATGATCTGAACTCATGGTCAAAGGTGGACATTGCTTGGCTCCCTCTCTCAGTCCACCTGCATATTCACAGTAATAGGTCTGCCACCTAAAATGCCTCTCCAGCCTCTTCTGACGTCAAAAAGTCAATTTCCCTGTGCTTGTACTCCGAGATCATCTATAACCTGTATCTCCCCTCCAGGCCTCCTCTGCTTTGTTGAATTATTCAGGTTCGGGTCGACGCCGGGAAGAGCCGGCCTCTCTGGCAGAGCCAGCCATCAGCGCCACAATTCTGACCTGTCCATCCAATATTACTGTAAAACACAGCTGAGGGGGAAAAAAACTGCCAACGCCATTTTTTAAATTACATTCTTTTCTAAACCAGAAGGAGAATTCTTTTTAAAAACCAGGCTGCTTCAGCGAGAAAAAAATCATTAGAGCTGCAGAGTGGAAGCATCAAAGCAGTGGAATTTTTATTCATTCACTCAGCTGAAGTGAGTGCTGGTGTGCAGCATAAAAAACAGGCAAGGTGCAAGAATTTAATGAAAAATGTACACATTTGCACATCAAAGAGTCGTGTATTTTGTCTAAAAACATGATACAATGCAAAATAATTTAAAGCATCTGTTTAATAGCCAGGAGTCGACAGCGTGGGAAGAAAATGCCACTGTGAAAGTAATTAGGGACACATACATTGTTAATAGAGTGCAAGCAGCAAGTCACCGCAGATTGCTTATTAATACTATTTACTTGCTGGTTTTAACCGCTGCTGTAACCACAACTCTTCCAACGGGGCAGAAAAGCCACCAGCTTTTTAAAAGGTTTTGTCTCAAAAAGTTCAGTAAAGTGAAAGAGGTGCTGAGTCCGGAACTGGAAACCATAGGAACAAGGCAGGCATTAGAAAAAAAAACAAATAAAATACTCCCCTTCAGCAGATTTGATTTTGTTCCCACACATTTATGCCATTAACATGTAAATGAGCACGCTCTTTCTAACCTTAAACATGACTCATGTTTTTAGCAGAGCGATTTTCCTCCACAAAGTGCCTGGGGATGTTAGGCGCTAATTAAAATCTGTTTTGGGTTCATAATATAATGGAAGCACACAAAAAATAAAGGCTAACCCAGCAAACAAATTCTAGACGAATCCTGTTTTCTGTGCTTTTTGACAGCATTCAAATAACCAAACATTGTCCTGGATTGTGTAGCTGTATTGTTGCATTTCAATTAACAACAAGCTGGTGGAAGACATCCTTGAAGCGAGCAATACGAGGCGAGTCCTTAGAGAGGGACCAATATGACCTGCTACTCAACAATGCTGCGGCATTTGATGCATTTTCAGTAGACTGTGTTATTATTGAAAAACTGTCTGTTTCTGAAGCTGAACTAATCAATATGTGCACATAAACGCTGGATGAAATCCATCATTTGAAAGGAGCCGTTGTCATTGCCGTTCCAACCTCAACAAGCTTAGAGACAAAAAAAACATGTTTTCTGAAAACTTCTCTCTATTCCCTCCTTTCCCTGTTATGTTCACAACCAATCTTGCCTGTATAAGAAGATTGAAAGAGATCTGTTAAATGTACTCAGAGTGAATCACTGTGGATAACCACCCCACTGCTTTAGAAAACCTGCAGGGAGAAAAAAAGAAAGTGAAAGAGGCACTATGTGAAGAATGGAAATCTTGTAGGGTGACTGGATCGGGCTGCAGGAGCAGTTAAAAGCACTGAATAGCGCTGTGATAATCACATCCACCATGAAAATCCAAGCTGTAAGCCCGCTACACATCCCAAAGCTATTCGACAGCCCCGATCGGCCTGTCCTTCATTTGCCTGCTTCGGGATCAGGAAATAGCCCTCCCTTTGAAGTTCCCCTTATCTCCTCTCCTTGGATTGTGGCTCCCAGAGCAGAGTCTGAGCAAACCGAGTCAGTCCAGGGAGATTTTGCCTCTCGCACGTTTTCTTTTGTGTGCAAGAGAGGTGGACATGTGCACACGGGAGATGGACCAACACGGTCACTGTGTCTGAGTCACTCAGGTACCGAACAGTCGCATTTGTGCCTCTGAGCCAAACTCAGATCTGCTGTCGATCTGCCGTTTGTGTGCCGAGTCTCCTTCAATAGTTCCCTTTGTGTTGGAATAACTTGCTTATTGAAAAATCATCAGTGTGTGTGACAGCTTAATGGCCATTATAATGATTCATCTATGGGAGCAGTCTGGTGGAAGACAAGGTTGGAAGAAGGTTGTGTTGCTGGAAAACAAAGGCAGCAAAAATCAGGCTTCCCATCACAACTGTTTCCATTAAAGCCATAAGAACCCTCACAATAATTACTTCAGTGCCAATTTTGTTAAGTCCAAACCTTCAGACATTAATGCAGGCTCTCTGAACATTAATTAAGACTGACCACATTGTTTATCTGACTCAACAAAACAGGTCCTCAAAGTCTTCTGACTTCTTATTCAGCAACAGCAACGTTAAAAATAAAAACAACAACAACAATAATAATAATTTTACAATTCTAGAGCACCTTTCAAGGACACTTAACAATGACAGACAACAACAGCAAAACAGAACAAACCCAGACAAAGGAAAACTAAACGTTTAGAAATATTTCCCTAAGTGCTGTAAAATATATTGAACAGTGAGTAAAAGTATTGACACCTCAAAGAAAAATAACTCATCTTGAAGAAAACTGGCCCCATGACTTAGAAATTAGCTTATTTAAATGACTGTCATAGAAATGTATTCACTGCTAGCATCTGTCTTTGACTCTTTACAAATGTCAAAAACCACATGATAAAACTAAGGACTGTGTGTGTGTGTGTATGACAGGGTGTGAAAATAACAAAGCAAAGTTGATTTATTGATGATCCTATCTTTTGAGACAACTAATTAAAAACTTTGCTACGCTGCCATGGTGACTGACGTAAAACACATTCAGCAGATCTATCCGGAGTAGAACAGGCGTTCGGCGGGAGACCGAGGCCACAGCTGCTCCGCCTCTGAAGGCATTCCCTTAAACTGGAGAGGATATCACTTTTCATCTGGATGGGAAACAAAGGCGTATAAGACAGCGCCTGCAGGCTCCGACACCTGTAACACTAGACAAAGCTGCTGGGCCCCCGGGAACACTTACAGTAATGTATTGGGCTCACGGTGAGAAGGCTGTCCTATTGATTAGTTTATTAAGTGTGAACCCGGCGGGACGCACGTGGGAGGCCTGTTCTGCTTCAGAATCTTGACTGAGAACCAGAGATCGAGATTCTGTTGCAAAGCTGCCATCGTTTCCCCCTAAACCAAGAGGGCATTTTGAATCATTTCAAGGTATCTTAAAGGACATTAGAAAATAATAAATACTCATTTGATTATCTGACCGGACCCACACACCAAAGCTCATTACAGAACCCTCCCCGTGCATTGGCTCAGCCAGAGTACAACCCATTCTCATTTTCACGCTCTACTTTATCCCTTCACTGCAGGAATGATGATCATTTCAGTCAGGATTTTTGAAAAGATTTTTTTGAAGGCATCAAAAAGAGGGTGCAAAAGAGTTTTGGGTCAAATATGTGTTTATTGAAGGAAGTGGAAAGCATATGTTTTAAGATGTCCTATTAATGGAAGACAGGTTTGTTACATTTGTTATCAGACTGCACAAACATAGAACTTTGCATGCAACTCTCATCCCATTGTTATATTCACTTCTATCTCATCCCTTTTCTCACTCCCACTCATTCAATCCACTGATTTATTTCAATCCATTTCAGCTGCTCTTTGACAGGATATTATTGTGGATGTTTTTAAATTTCACTGCATGATGCCCCAGTGTCAACTTCAGCGGCCTGTGCGCATTTAAAACCTAAAAACCCAAATATACACAACAAAAAAGCGTTTAAATAGCCGTCCCCTGCAGTGGGCGCTACGCATGAAAGGGTTAATCCCGCGTACTTCACCCTTTGCCGGACTTTTACAGGTGGCAGAGCATCACTTGTTCCCAGCTGAACTGGGACCTGCCAGCACACACACACACACACACGTTTCTGAGGCTCTGCATTCAAACTCCGAGCGTTTAGTATGCCGCACACACAGCGCCAGCGGGCCCGTTGTCAGTGGAGACGGAGGTGATGTTTGCTGCAGGAAGGTCAGGCGAGAAAGCTCAGCGATACGATGACATCCAGTTCCGCCTGCCTCGAGTCACGGTAAAGGATGGATGTTTGCTTCTTTAACACCACAAACAGCATTTTTCAGCTCGGCTCAACATCGAGAATATGTGCATGAATTCAGATTGGTCATTTGTCGGTGGCTCTGACATGAAATCAAATCAAATAAAAATAAACTATTCATCTTACAAGGAAATTATAAAAAATGTCAGAAACTAGTAAATGATGGCTGGAGACTAATGCTCTCATAGCTTGTTTAGCCTGGGTGGTTGGTTTAAACGCAATAGGGGTTTATACCTCCCAATTCTTAATGGATGTAAAAGAAAAGCCTATTTTCTAATCACTGCTTAGGTCTCCACAGTGTGTTTGTGTACTGGAAGCTTACTGGATCAGCACTGGCTTCCACACCAGCTGTGATGTCACAAATCTCACCGTAATGTATTTCTCAGTTTTGCTGTGTGCTGAAAAATCCCCCACTGCTTACATGGAAAAGGGATGTCATGATTATTACGATTATTACTATTATTATTATTTAATGATGCTGAAAAGAAGCTATGGAGGCTCAGACAAAGGTCACCTCCACCACAACAGAAGGATGGAGCTCAGCATAAATTAAATCTTCATAACTGTATAAG